CCATTCATAGTGAAAATATGTGATCACAGTGCCAAAGTAAGTGTAGTTGGTGTGCGTATGCACGAGTTTGTGTATTGCACTTATTGATGTGAAATGTTGCCGATGCCGTGAGTGCGTCGGTGTTAAATTGACATGAGCTGTGTGATAATGATGTCTGTGATTGTAATTGTTTAATGTATTAGAAATGTGTTGGAGGTGAGATTCTATGTTGACTGTGTGTTTTTGGATAGTGTAAAGTACTCACCCTTACATTCATTTTTCAGAAAATCAAGACGATCAACACTGGACTCAGTAAAAGGGTGGATGGAACTGCTATAGGACTTAAGATTTTATTTTGAAAACTGTTGTATTTGAACAAGTCCTGTAACAACTGTTTGATGTAATTTGTAACCCCCTTTCTTTATTTGAAATGTTTGATGAACTTTGATTGGAAAATGGAAATTTATTATTTTAAAATTTTGTGAAATTTCTTATTTATTGAAATTAAATTTAAGGTGTTACAACACCCTCATTAATGATTTATATATTACAACAGATATAAGTTATGAAAATATATTTTTTAAATAACGATATAAAATCATACCTCCATGTTGTTGTTGTGTTGAGGTAACTCTTGCAATACCATTGATATTGATCATGGAATCAAAATCATCATCTAAATCAGTATCAGAAAAACTATTTAATAAAATATCTTCTTTATCTTCATATTCATCATCGTCATCTGTAAATCTTATATTATAAGCTTATATTATTAATAGTATTTGTAACATCAATTTTAAAAATTTAAAATTATTAAAATCATATTACCTTCTCTTGTTGCATAATTATCGTCATTACTTACATGAACATGTGAGAGTGATAAATTTATTTCTAACGGATGTGTCACAAGAGAAAATGTTTGACCGACCGTAACATCCACATATATCTCAACTACATTCCTATGATGTAATTGTTGAGACACACTTATCATTCCATTTATATCTTCATCATCACATACATCCAAAGTTGTATGGTTTGTCTCAACTAAAATTCGTGAAATTAATCTAAAAATTACGTGACTACTAGACAATTTCAATTTTGTATGAATCTTCCTTTTAAACATCTAAGAGTAATCTCACGTTTTATCTTAATCATCTTTTTCTTCCCTTCAAAAACTATACCCTCATTTTTTTTCATATATTCTACCCTTTAAATATAATATAACAACAATTTCATTTATGCTGCATTCAACATAATTAGTCATCATAGTAATTAATTTATCATATAATGAATTTGTATTTAAAAAATAATTTGTAATTACAAATATTTAAATAATTAATTTTTAACATTATATTTTATATTTATTAATTTTAAACATACAAAAAATTAACATCATAATAATTAATTTATAATATAACGAATTTATATTTAAAAATTTTACAATTACACATGTTTAACTAATTAATTTTTAGCATTATATTTTATATTTATTATTTTCAAACATAACAAAAAAATTTATTTACAACATTAACACTTAAAATATTATCAATTTTCTAAATAAAAATATTATTTAAAATAAAAAAATTCTTAATACCTAATGAAAACAATATATATATATTCGTAATGCTTAAACTTAACCTGAATGGAAAATTTCTCTTCAAGTTCCACAGTTGCTATTTCTCTTCCAGCTGAACAATTGTTGTAATAAATTTATGTATTTATAGACTTCTAATTTTGGACAAAAGAATGTATCAAAAATTTTATCCAACGATAACACAAAAATCAGCCTTGGTTGGACGACATTAGAGTCGTCCCTGACATGGACGCTACAAAAATCGTCCCAAATATAGATGATAATAGTTTCTGGTACAACACATGTCAACATCTCGTTAGTGTCGGATTAATAGGACGACACTCTTATAGCTTGCCACGTCATCATCTGTGTCGTCCCTTTTCTGAACGACTTTAGTGCCACATGGACTGCTCACTCTATACAGGAAATTTGTTTTACAAAAACTCTATATCGATAATTTTTTAAAAAAATTACCCCAGTCAGGCAAACAAGCCATGCATTGATGTTGTTTATGGCAAAAAGTTGATTTTAAAGAGAATCTGAGAGCCAATGTGAAAATATAGAAATTGATTTTAAATTCATTATATTGGAGGGTGGGTGCTTGGTGTTGTTGATGACAAGAAGATAAAATTTTGAGAATAAGAAGATGAAAGAGAGAAAGAAGAGGAAGAAGTGTCAGAAATAACATTAAAGATCTGAGAATAGAAAGAAGATCAACAATGCTGCATAATACATGTGTCACAAAATGACAAGTTTTTTTGACAGAGTTAGAATTTTTAACATAGAAAGATTTATTGGAAACTTTTGTAAAGGTTAAAGGATTAAAATAAACTAAAAAAAGTTAGAGAATAAAATAAATTTTACCTTAAAATTAAGAAAAAAAAGTAAATTTGTCTTTTAATTATTTAACAAATTAATTCACAATTTCATATTCTAAAAGATCTTTAAGGTTTTTAATAATGATATAAAACATTTAAATGATATGAAAACCTTATTTATATCATTGTATTCGCTTTCAAAGCAATCCTTCTAGATTTTGCTTACCATGACTTTTCCACCACATGGCACGTCCATGGAATAATAATATATTGACCACCATTGAATTTGCGATGGAAAATGGAATCATGTGAACATAGACATTATTATTATTTTTCCATTAATTTAAAATTCCGAATATCCTTGAGAACTTGACAATGAAATGTTTAAATAAAAATTTGAGAATAACATGATATCCACATATGTTTGAATTTTATCATTCTCAAAAAATACTATCATTTTATTATACACGTTAAATAACTAATCATATTAATCAACATAAATCTAAACATGAACTTCAATATATGAAAAACCATACAAATATCAAATATAATATTTTCAAACTGACTTTAAAACTTAAAGGTTTTTTTTGTCTGTACAGTGAATGAAACTGCACGATATAATTTTCTAAAAAGAAACGATTTAAAAGTGTCATTAAATGCTTAAGGCAATCGTTGGCAAAATTTCATAGAAGTCTTCAAGTATCATAGTTTATATTGTATGTTTTATTATTATATTTAGTAAAACAAAATCAAATAATAATAAAAATTATGATTATGTTATGAGTAATTAAATAAATTTAAAGATAATTATACTTAAATAATAAATATTTATAATTTTCTCTAAGTCTATAAAGAGATAATATTTATTTAAACTATTAATTTCAGTCAAGTTTAGAATAAACAATTAATGATAATAATTTTTTTAAAAAAATATTTATTATAATTTTATAATTTTAATATAATAAATATATAATTTTTTATAAAAAAATATATTTATGAATGCTTAACTCACGGGTTGGAGTTAATAAAACTATAAAAACAATGTATTACTTTTGCTTCTATATATAATAGACTATTTCCCCCCCTTTTTTTTTTATCAAAACAAACTTATTTAAAGACTTTGGTCGATCAACTTCAACTCTTAACATTCATGTCACTTAGATTTCTTGGCTCCTTGAATATTAGTATCTCTAATAATACTCATAAAATATTGAATTTTGTATGGTGTATAAGATTTTAATATAATTTAGAATAAAAGTAGTAGAAATATTATTTATTACTATGATTGTTTGGAACTAATCAACCTTTGAATAAAATAAAGACTCATGAGTCTTTTATCACCACTTTCTTATTAATTCTAGAGATTTGTAAGATTTTATAAACAAAAATTAGACATAATCCTTAGCTCATTTTCATGAAGAAGCTAATTTTCGTGCTATAATTCTGCAGTGTTACATTACCGAACAAATAACTTATTCTCTTGTTGTTTTGCTTATTAAAAAAAAAATTAACATAAGAAAGTGTTTTATGTGCCTATTTAAAAATCATCAAGAAATTCAATTAAAATTAAAGATTTTCACTACGTGAACTTTTTTCATATACTGTCCATTTAAACACAATTTAATTTTAAATAATTATTATTGAATAATATATTTAAGACAAAAAGTAATAAAGACAAAATGCATATATTATATTTATTAGTGAATTTTAAAATAAGAATGAAGTAATTAATAAATAATACCAATGCTATATTTTAAAACCTTTTTAATATAAGAAATGTTGGAGACGAATGTGTATAAAATAACATGGCTGGATTGTACTTAATTCTTAATTTTTTTAAATATATTTATTAACCAATAAACAGCCACCATCTTGAATTCGTGTGTTTTTGAATCGACAATTTCTATGAAATATGTGCACTTTATTAAAAATTAGTTTAGTAAATTGTGAAATACATTTATAATTTATTTTATAATAAATATTATACATTTTAATAATTAGAAAATAAAATTTAAATATTTAATAATAATTTTCTTAAAAATAATGTTAACATAACTCTATAATTACAGATAGATATTTTTAAAAATAATTTATTTTAAAATAATTTATTTTACAATTTTAAAATAACACTTTTTTTTATTGTATAGTATTATTTTTGTAATTGCATATTAATAATTAATATATATTAATAATCATAAATTTCAGAAATAAGAGTTTAAAATATAAACTCTAAATTTAAAAAATAAAAAAATAAAGATAATTTTTATAAATACAAAAATATGTATTTACAAAAAATATTAAAATAATAAAAAATAAAAAAAATTCAGTAAGAAGTTTAATTTTTAAAATTTAGAATAAAATTAGTAAAAAATATATTTAATTAACTGATTATTTAAACACTTATATATTAAATTCTTTTAACATGACTTGAAAGTTTAAAACGACGACTTAAAAAAAAAACTATATTAAGAATCAGTAAAAAGTTTAAGAAGAATCTTATAAAAAAAGAAAGCGAGAATATTTAGAAAGAGGTGGGAAAAGAAACATTGAATCCAAATTCCAATTTCCAAAGGAGGCGTGGAATTGGATTGCGTTAATGCGTTACAGTGAATATCATGTAAGAAGTAATGAGTAATTTGATTGATCCGTTGGTTTGAGACAGGCTTTAGCAGCTTCGTAGGTCTAACCGAAATAAGAAACTGTCATTTTCTGGCACAGTTGGACCAAGTGAGAAACCAAGACACACAACAACAACACGAACAAGTCCTTACTAGCCGCAACACCAATCCCAACAACACCAAGAAACACAAAACCACTCCTTTTAAATATCTTTCTCTTCTCTCTCAAACTTTTCTTTTCCAATTCTCTCTTCAATTTTCAACTCCTCTTGGTATTTAACTGCCAAACTCTGTTTAGACTTGTGCATTTTCTTTTGGGTGGCACAGGTGATGCTTTTTCTTCTTTTTTCTTTCTTTTTTAATTCGCTTCTGTTCTCTTGGTTTTTGTTTCCTAAAAGGGGTTCCTCTCCTTTTTTGACTTGTCAAAGGGTTAATTTTCGTGGGTTATGGGCTGAATTCTCATATCGGATTTGGATTATGAGCTGAATCTGCAAATGGGTTTTCTCTATGTGGCTTTTTTTTTTTTTTTTAATTGTTGTTTCAGTGAAAAATTTCAATTTTGTTCGTGAATTGTGATGAAATTGGAAAATTTTGATACCTAGGATCATCGTTCGGTTTAATTCGATGGTTGTTTTCTGTCCTAGATTTTATGAAGGATCTAAGGTTGGATCACTGATCGAGCAGAAGAGAATTATATGAAAGAAACGGTTAACGAGGAGTAGTTGACTTTTATTGAAATTTCTGTTCTTGAGTCCTTATAATTGGGTTCTGTTTATCTAGAATTATAATATTCTGTCTCAGAAATTTGCCATGTTACAGAAATCCAAGTCAAGTTGAACAAGGCTTGACTTGAACCATTTCAGTTGAACATGTTATTTATTGTTGCTTGCCAACGTGTGTTTGAGTTGCATGGCTTTATCTGTTGTGTTTGCAATTAAAACGTACAAATGGCACTTCACTTATGTTGGAAAATGGAATTTAATGCAGACTGCAGTATAGCAGTCACATCCAAGGATCATTATGAGTTGTGGCTGCTTTGGAGCCTCAACTCTGACGAAGAAAAGGAGTCCTTCTCGTGCTCCTAATGAGATTGATGGTGAGGGCCTGTTGATTACCTATTTTAGTATTTTGTAGCCTTCAATAATTATGGACCATTATATTGTTTCCTTTCCCTTATATCAGCTTACCTATGAACCTGCTCTTTCTAAGTAATTTACCTGAGACAATACCCTAATACTTGCAATTTAATCACAGATGAAGAGAAGGAGAGTATCTTTGTCCGTTATGCTGTTCTCTTTTTTCTGAGTGATATATTTATGGAGTATTCTCAATTGAGCTGTCTTGCATTTTGATCAATATTGTAGGAAGGTCTGAGAAGAGTAATAGAAAGTCTCCATTAAGTTGTAGAATTTGTCAGTGAAAACTTATTCTTAGTATACAGACATGCTTTGGGGAATTTTACTAGTTAGGTTGTGTATGATAGGCGATACAACAATGATGTTCATAAGATTTCTAGTGTATAATTTGTTAGGGTCTTGATAAGCGCCTTTAGGGCAGTGGTTAAAGAATTCAAAATGGTGAGTTTTTATTGGAAGTTGCGTTGGAAATCACAGGAGAAGGTATATTTATTATGTTTTCTAATAAAAATTTTCTATTTTGATTCCTTGACGGGCACCAGTTAGCATTTCCCAATTAGTAATGCTTCTAGAAGATTATTTTATTTTATTTTTTTCATTTATCACTACTATATTGAAAGCCTGATACAAATTTTTTATGCCTCTATTCTCTTTTTCTCAGGCTATCCACTTGATAATGTTGTGCATTTCTCTGATAAAGACCTGAGACTGGCCACTGATAACTATCATCCAAGCAAAAAGATAGGACGAGGAGGCTTTGGAACTGTTTATCAGGTATTTGGGTTACAAACCCTTGTAACATTATGGAATTAACATGCTTGTTGATCAATTGAACTTATCAAAATGATTCCTCAGAGGTGCTTGTGCTACAAGAGGGTTATTTATAATTTCTTTTTCATATATTTCCTTCTTTAATGTTGAATTAAGATGCCATTCATGATGCAAGTGTCAATCTTAGTCTTAGACCAGTTAGGTATCTGTCTGTATTCGTATACTTAGCATCACATTTTTATCATTTAATGCTCTTATTGAGTGTTAAGCCACTATAACATAGGTATGTTGAAATTTGCCAGGGAACCTTAAAAAATAGAAGACAAGTAGCAGTGAAGACACTTTCAGCTGGGTCAAAGCAGGGAGTTCGTGAATTTTTAACTGAAATTAAAACTATATCAAATGTTAAGCATCCAAACCTTGTTGAATTGATCGGTTGCTGTGTTCAAGAACCTAATCGTATATTAGTATACGAATACTTGGAAAATAACAGCCTTGATCGTGCATTACTTGGTAAATTTGACAAATATTGGTGTTAGTTATGAAATCACAAATTAAGATCCATATGCAGATAATAGGAAGAAACGTATAACCTTTCTTATTTTTTTTCTCCATATTTTTTGTAGGCACAGGAGGTACACATACCAGATTAGATTGGAGAAGAAGATCTGATATTTGTATAGGTACTGCTAGAGGTCTTGCATTTCTTCATGAAGAACTTGTGCCACACATTGTACACAGGGACATTAAAGCTAGCAACATACTACTTGACAGACACTTTAATCCAAAAATAGGAGATTTTGGGTTGGCTAAATTATTTCCAGATGACATCACTCACATTAGCACAAGAATTGCTGGAACAACGTATGTTATATTTCAAATTGGTTTATGGTTTTTATTTTTCCATAGCTTTTGAAGATTTCTACTTAGTTTTTTTTTTTTTTTGATGGCTACTATCAAGTCCTCTGTAGATAATATTAATTAATATGATATTAGAGGGAGAAGAAACTCTTCATATTTGGTGATCCAGATCCTTTTTCCTTCATCAACTAGGTATGACAGTAGAACTAGCAATAAGCAATGCAATAACTGATAAACCTTTAGGGTCAATTAGAAGATCTAAAATAATGTTTTCTGAGTGTACTAGATGCAATATTTTGTAATAGAATGTTCATAATTCAGTTGCACATCCCTCCAAAGATACTCAAAGGGAACATGTTCCATAAAGCTAGACTGACATATTGACAATGATGCAAACTCATGGGCAATTTTTGTGGTTCTAGGGTACCTATTTTGTATTCTTGACATCAGTCATGCAACCAAAAGCAGGATATTATATATCAAAAAATGATTATGAAGAAAATGTATTTGTAGCTTTTATGAAAAGTAAAGTGCGTCACAATAATCACAAGCCATTGGTTTGAACTAAATATCACAAGATGATATTACTGGCAATAAGCTCTGGTGGCATATTCAATTTCCTCGGAGTTATGTTGGAACTCGGAAATGTAGATCAAAAACACTCCTGGACCTGCTAAGTGCTGACAGATAAAGCATTATGGTTCACTGCTTCCTTAACATATTGTGTTGAAAAAGATTTCTGTGGAATACCTCATATTTGACTGATTATCATATTGTTGTCTTAATGTTAGTAATATCTCTTGATCAACCAATTTTTAGGCATTTCCCTCTAAAGTTATATGCCGTAAAAGTGTTTCAAATTTTATTTTTATCTTTGGATTTGGCTCCTTTAAAGTGAGATGTGCAAAATAAGAAAGTGAAGATCTATCCACCATTGATTTAAAGTTAGTTATGTTCATAAAATATCCAAAATCTAATCAACGAGGAATAGGCCCTCACGTTAACATTTCCTTTAGAGGAGCTAAATCTGTTTATCTTTAATGTTTTTCAGTCTTCACAAAGTAGAACCAAGTAGTTAGTAGTTGCCCCGTTTTTCATATCTATAATTAGTGGGATTTTCAAATTTACTCATTTGTCTACATAGTGTTGTGCATCTTCAAAATTTTTCAATCCGTAGATGGATAGTTGAACTTAGAAATACTTTGCAGTGGTTACTTAGCACCAGAATATGCAATGGGAGGCCAGTTAACCATGAAGGCTGATGTATACAGTTTTGGGGTTCTTATACTTGAAATAATTAGTGGCAAAAGCAGTGCAAGGACAAATTGGGGAGGGTCCAACAAATTTCTCTTGGAATGGGTATTTACCTTTCAACTTCCCATATTTATGAATTGCATTACAACATCATATTCCATATTCTGTAACTTTCTAAGGTAATGTTATATAACCTACAAAATCTGAGCGTATTATCAATTGTTAAGATGCCTTGATATTCTTATTTGGGAACAAATTGAGAGGGTAGTGAAAAAGGAAGAAATGAAAGTGGGAAGATAGGATGTGACTTTCCATTTCTTGTTTGCATGTAATTAATTTGGGAGGAATAAATATGATTTCTCATTTGTTATGTAAAAAAATGAAACAAAAAGGAAAATCATTAATAATGAAGCTACAAATGGACCATGCATCTTTAGATGGACTTCATTGTGATAAAAATAACAAGAACAAAACAACCTTTTCCCACTAAGTGAGGCTGGTTATATGGAACACACGATGCTATTGCATTTTGTCAAAGACCAAGCCTACAGAAAGGTCATTCAATCCCTCTTCTTACTGGGACCTCTGTTTGCCTTCTTCACACGTGGCCAAACCATTTTTAGGCAAAATTTTATCATCTTTTCCTGAATAAATGCTACCCCTACTTTTTCTATAATACATTCTCACTTCATCTCATCTTATATGTTCACTCATCCACTACAATAATATTCTGCATTTGAAGTTTGAACTAATGAATTTCCTTTCCAAAATTATTCCTCCCACTTTCCGCATGTTCTTTTTCTTTCCATTCAGATTCTTTTCACTCAATTCAACATAGAATTCACTTCCACTTTTTCATCATTCCACATAAAGTGTGGCACAACACAAGAACCTTTAATGTTTTCCTTTGACCAAATATATGCAAGTTGTGTGTATGTTCTTCTCAATGAGACTTGAGCTGAACATAATGATATTCACTTCTGCTATAACAGGCTTGGCAACTGTATGAAGAGGGGAAACTGTTAGAGCTTGTGGATCCAGAGATGAGTGAATTTCCTGAGGAAGAGGTTGTTAGGTACATGAAAGTAGCTTTTTTCTGCACACAGGCAGCAGCAAGTAGAAGACCAATGATGTCTCAGGTTGTTGATATGCTTTCCAAGAACATCAGGATCAATGAAAAGCAACTAACAGCACCAGGGTTCTTCCAGGATTCGGGAGAATCCTCTCTAAAGAAGTCATCTTTTGAGTCCACAAGCTATCAATTCAGCTCTAACCCTGCCAGCATTACTCAGGTGACCCCTCGGTGAAGCCTGAATCAAACTCCTCATGTGTGAATTGCATTGTTAAAAATAGAAGGAAAGAAAAATGAAAGATAGATTATCTTCTTTTGTTTTCTTTTACATTTTTCTTTTGATATTATTTTTAAGAAGGTAATATAAGGTGTTTGGATAAGTTTTTAAAGGTGTTTTTATGGTTTTGCTTTTTTTTTTCTTTCTTTCTCTTTTTTAATAATAGCCTTTTCTATGTAACTAGTGAATTTCTCCACGAGTTTTCAAATTTAAATAAAATTTAAAGAAAATAATATATATTTTTATTGTTAATGACAATACGATTAAATTAAAAAAAATAAAACTTTTAAATTTAAGTAGAAAATGATAAAAATACATTATTAAATTTTAGATACATTATCTTTATTGATGTGAAGGTGTTGAAATTAAAAAAACATTGATATTAAGATTGAATTATTTTTTGGTACAATGATATAAGATTGATGAAGATTATAGTAAAATTAAAATTTAGTTTATCTAAAAATCATTTTTAATTGGATACAGTATATCAAGATTTTAAATTTAAATTAAATTAGAATCAAATTTAAGAGAAAATATATGAAATGAATGAAAAATTTACTAAAAAAAATAAATTATACACCTAATGCAATAGAAGTCATATAACAAGAATGAGAATAATTCTTAAAAATATGTTTTTTCTAATAATATAGACTAAAATTTATAATATAGGGCTGAATTACTATTGCTTGTTATAGAAGCATGTATTTAATGCGTCTTAATTTTAAAAATAATTGATTTTTTTTGTTTTAATACTATTAAAAAAATTAAAAATATTATTTAACATTAGTCTAAGGGTTGTGCTTAGAAATAATGTTTAATTAAGCACTCATAATATAAATTTAATGATACAATTTATTAAGATATGTTGAAAATAATTTATTTGAATAAGCTATATTTAGGTTGTATTTTGTAACACAAGTTTATAGCTTATTTATAAATTTATAATTTATTAATTTTTAAAAAATAAGATAGTAGAGCCATTTAATAACTACAAAATAAAATAAACTAATAAATTTTTAAAGTTAATTTTTGAAAAGCTTATTAAAATAACATTCAACTTATAAATTATAGCTATTAATAAATATATCTCACTTTTATCCTTACCAATTTTAAGTAAATCATACATAGATACAAATTATAAGTCTCTTTCACTCCTCATTCAATTCAAATATTATATTTTTAATCATTTATTAAATTTTAACTAATTTTACTAAATAGTTATAATTCAATAAATTATTTATAAAGTTATTAGTTTTTAGTTAATTTTATTAAATATAGCCTAAGAAGTTTATTAAAATAAGGTAAAAGTAACTTACTAGAGTCATAAACTTTTTATAAATAAACTTTAAACTTATAATATTTATTGTGTAATAAATACAAAACAAAAATTCTTAAAAAAAATAAATTAGTTTTGTTTAACCAAAGGCCAACATTCCTGTTAGTAAGGAGTTAGTTAAATTTACTTTTAAAAAAAATTATGTTTTCAGTTTTTTAAGAAAAAATTGAAAAAAATATTTTTAAATTAATTTATTTTCATATAAGCACTTAATTAAACATATATATTAATAATTTAAGAGTTAGTATGGTTAACACTAAGTGTCTTACGACATTTTTTGATAATTTTTTATAATACAAATTTGATGAATCTAATTGTTAAATCATCTTATATTATTTTTTTAATTATGTATATCATATTTTATATAATTTGAACATTTATTAATATGTTATCTAAAATTTGATATTTATTTATATTTTAAAAATATAATATCTGTTAAAATAAAATTATATGATAAAGTATTTATTAATTTTATTTTTGTATCAAATTGATCTAGTTATAAAAACTTTCAAATTCCTGATTAAATTAATCAATATTGAATTTTATTAAAAAAATATTAATTTCAAGTTTGACACCAGTCATAATTTAAATCTTTGATTTTAATGCCTCAGTCGCTTGCATTCAATATAGCGGTGAATTTCATTCAGAAACTCCCATATTCCCATCTGTTATTCGAAACTATAAACAATTTCGAGCTCAACTATGAAACTGTAGAGATCCAATCGATTGTGAAAATAAAATACGAAATCAAGAATTTTAATAGAATGCTTATTTAATTCCCCGTAAAAAATGAAAATAAAAAAAAATAATTTTCGGGCATAAAAAAGAAAAATATAACAATGAGAATATTACCAATAATAAGAATATAAATGGGTAGAGTTCCTCTTTTGATATATTATGATAAATTAAAAGAGACATGATATGTAAAGGACAAGATTTAAACCTTGCGAAAACCACATCCCTAAGCCAATTCCCACCTCTCCTCCCCTAGACAGAAAAAATAGGGGGATAGATTGGGCATTAAAAATACACTTACCAGTTGGAATTTTTTTTTATAATTGACACCAGTGAACAAACCCATAATCATAGAAGTAAAAACATAAAAAAAAAAAAAAAACTTTTTATTTTTCAATGATGTATTAAAAACCCATGAACATTTGAATTTCAAGGTCATATAATAGTCAATAATGGATATAAATGATACAAAACCTCAATGGGGAAATAAAATGCAAACCAAAAAAGCCATAGAAACTAATACCATGACAAAAGGATCCATAAAGACCAGCAGGGGGAAAAAGGCATAGGTGAAGAAAGATTGTGAGAGCTTAAGTATGAAAGGCAGAATTAAGTAGAAGACTGCTCCTTAGTGGATGGAACTTCTTTCGGGGGTGAATCTGCAGTACCATTAGTGCTGGCATTTTTTGGTTGTGAAACAGGTGCAGCTTCTGGTGCAGATCCATTTGCTTTAGGTGCTGTTTCTTTTCCATCTTTCCCATCTTTGGAGTCTTTAGCAGGTGCAGGTGGAGGGGGAATCATGTGAGGTGGTGGTGTATGTTTCAGCTTTAACAATATCTGCCTCAACCTAGAAAGATCTGTGGGTTTTCCAGGCTTTGGGCCTTGGACGACTGTGATTGATGGCTTTTTATTCTCCTGATCTTTTTTGCCTCTTTTCTTCTCAATGTTGGGAACCTCACGAGGAATAATCTCCCCAATAGCTTTCCAGTAATTTTTGTCAGCCTCTTTGTGGAATTTCTCTCGATTAACCAAGTATATCTGCTCAACATACGAAGTTTATTTCTGAGATTAAAAAGGCAGAAATATATATATATATATATATATATATTGTGAAAAACAAAATACGATGTATGTATGACCTTACCTTTTCCCTTTCTCTGTTTTGAACCTTGTTAGTCTCAACAGTAAGCTTCCTTTTCTCATAGAAAGCAGCCTTATACTCCTCCGCTTCCTCAATAATCCTCAATCTCATTTCTTTTTCCCCTTTCTCCTTCTCCTCAAGCTGAATGGCATTTTGACTGCATAATGAATTCATTTTTGTTGACAATTAACATGGAACAGATCTTAAATCATAGTTGGCTAAAGACTAGATTGCAAGCAAAACACTTGTCCTACCATCAGGTTGCAGAATATCTTTTTCTCAGAAAACCAACCAAATGGCATTTGTATTAATGGTCACATTAGCATATATCATTGGAAAATGTTAAGCATCCAAAAGTAATACAATTTTTTTGAGAAAGTAAGTATTTATTACATCAAAAATGCAAAAGTGTAATAAATATTTCTTTCCTAATTAAAACATTATTTTTATATGCTTAAAATTAGTCTTATGGGATTGATGTTAACAAAATAAAAAATTATATTCTAAACATCATTCACTCTTATGCACCATCTATATTTCTATCTTTCTAGGATGCATCATTCTGCACAAGGTGCAAAATGAAACACATTTGATGCATATATTTCTCAAGCAAAAAATCAAAGCCAATAAATATCCGGTTCTCTGGTTTTATTGAGTAATTACAAGCTTCAAATTCATATTGTTTACGACATATGATTTGGTAGTAAACAGAAAACAAAATATGTTTGGCATCATTAAGGAGCTATGATTGCAAGAACTTGGAATTTGGAAATGGCATGTTTATGAATTTGCAAATTAGAATCCCAATTTAGCCACACTACTTGATCTTTGAGGAAAGCTTGAATTCTTCAGTTTATGAATCAAAATAATATCAATTTATCTTATTCTGGTACTCAGTACATGATGCATAGAGAGAAATTTAACATTAGAAAAACTGGGTAATGTGCCACGATAATAAAAAGAAAGCCACGATGTCAATGCAAAACTATACAAGGATCAAAATTCACATGTGCATATATTTACATAACCAGGTTCTCTAATATATATTACACCCTGAACTACAGCAGCGGAAAAAAAAAACGGAGAAGGAGAAAAAAAAATCTGCCAGCATGGACACGCCAAGCTTTATTTGAGAATTGATTCCAGGATATAAGTTTAACAGGGGGAGTGATGATCATGGAAGAATCAGCACACAAGACAGATCTAACAAACCCCAGAATCGGCTTTGACCTTAAGTGACATAAAGTTTAGTAACCACACAGATCCAACTTCCACAGGTGAAGCTATCAGTAGCAGTAAGGTAACACAGCATGATCAGGCAAATCTGCTTCATCCCTTTAGTTAGCACACGCGAATGCAAATCGATTCCTCCCACTTAAGCATACAATTATATTAAATCTCAACCACCCAAAAATTAAACAACGAAAAAACTTTTTTCTTCTTAATATAACACCTCAAGTAACTACTTCCGTATGAAATCGAATAAAACAAAGTTCACCAATTCGTTACTTCCTATGCCCAATCCTAACTGTTTTCAAGCAACTATAGATCTAAGCAAATCCGAACAAGATCTGACAAATTCACAAAGCAGACTCAACTCTTCAAACTATAAATAAAAGCTTAGTCTTAGAGAGAGAAAGAAAGAGCAAAAGAGAGTTATACCGGCGCCACTCCCGAAGGACGTAACCTTCTTCCGGCTCCATCTCGCCGGGCGGTGGAAGCACTGGTCCGTCGGAGACAAAAACGCCGTCGCCGTAGCCGTTTTCGTTTCCGTTTCCATTCTCGACTACGTGATCTTGTTCGAATGGGGATTGAGAGTAACTCGGATCGGGATCGCTGAATCCAAAGACCTCCGGCGACGCCGCCGTCGAGGTGTGGTCGAGGGGGACATCGTCGCCGGGGAAGTTGGAGTAGCCGTCGTATCCGGAGAAGGTGTCCTCGGTGGCGGGGGCGGCGAAGTGGTGCTCGTCGACGGTGAAGGCGTCGAAGGAGGCGGACATGTTTCCGGTTTTCTCTCTCTAGAGATGAATACTTTCTCTCTCTTCTGCGAAACGCTTAGAACGGAAAAGAAAGAGAGAGCAGAGACTCTTCTTGTTCTTTCTTTGACTTTTTAAATACTTAACGGTGAAAAGAAAAAGAAATGAATAATGGAATTTGTTGAAAAGAAAGAAATCAAAGATTCAAAATATTTTTGGATAATTTTTATTATGGAAAGTATTTTTATTTTTTTTTACAATTAACTGCATTTTTTATTCAATACGAATTGCAACATAGCAAAAGAATGTATTTACTCCAACAATACTTTTTATTTTATTTTTAAATTATAGTTTTTTTTATCGAAAACAATTTAATTTGAGATGTATAAAATTAACGAGAGTGGTAAATTTTTTTCTTTAAATATTTAATACATCTGTATTTACTGATATTTAAAATCAAGATAATATATTTTTAGTTTTTATATTTACGAACTTATATTTTTTTATAAGATTATAATTGTACCCTTTTAAATAAATATTATTATTTATAGTGATTTTTTTTAATATTGAATAGGGGTTTTGCCCAGAAGAAACTAAATAGTAAGGTGCGGAACAGACATACCAACAATATTTTAGTTTGAACGTAACTTTTCAGAAAAACAATGATAATAATTATGTAAGTAAAATAATCAACCAAGGCAGCGCTATTTCTTTTTAGTTAAATTTATTTATTTTTTATTTTAAATATATTTTTAATCATTATAACTTTTTTTTTTTTTTTACTTTTGATCTGTATTATTTAAAAGTTTAAAATGGAATTTCTACAATTTCTTTCCGCTGTGAAATTGATTCCAAATGTAATAATTAAAACCAAAATATAGGCATGATAGAGGGAACCAACTCTTAAACAAAAACAAGAATAATTATATATTTCGCAAAACCTTGAAGATATATCAAGGCTAAATTATTAATAACTTAAAATAGGTATCAAGCAATTTAATTTCAAGTGCCTTACTAGTAGAGAAAAATCAACAGAAAAAAAAAATTAAAAATTGATTACCATTTTTTTTGCTATTAAGGAATTTGCATATCAAAATTTCTAATGCTTGCGATTATCAATAAGCTACAAATTTAATTATATATCACAACTTAAAGAGTGCATCTTCATACATTTGTAAGAGTAAACATATTCATTCGGTTAGATCATAAAGTCGTTTACAAATATCAAGTTAAGTAAGCTTCAAATCAGTCGTTGATTCTTGTATTAGTCATAGACACATGCAGTCTTGGACATTTAGCTCCAAAGCTTACATTTCATAGTTCAATTTGCAGCTCACACAAATCATTTGCTTTCAAAAATGAACTTTGTCCAAAATAAAAGTGTGTATGACAAAAATGCATAGTGTATCTATCCAAAGCACTTAGCTTCACGTATGACTATGTCAAGTAAGTATATATTATGATGTCATGGAGCGTAAAAGTTGTTGAAGCTTCAATAATGGAAGTGAAAACAGTAGCATTACATTTACACTATATATTAAGCAGATTCACCAACCCCATATTCTGCTACTACTGTGTCTTCCAAGGGATTTGGGTTGATAGGATCATCAATTGGATAAAACAATGCTGCTTAGTTTAGTGTATTGTGAACATTGTTAGGACATGTATTGATCAAAAGAATGTATTGTAAAATTGTAACCACAATCAGAAGGGTAGAATTGATGTTACATTTAATAGGTTATCTAAATATGCAGCCGCCAACATTTGCCATCAGCCACAAAATAAACAAGTACAACATATTAGGCTCTCCAATTTCAACTTTATGATCCAATTCTAAGCATTACACTGCATAGTGGGCCTAAGATGTGAATATCTTCCAAATTCTGGTTAAGGGGTATCTCACCCTACTTTTGTGAGGATCTTAATCTGATACAGAAGAGGAAACTCTACTCGGCTTTGGACTTTGTTACAAATAAGATAGAGTGAACTACCAAGCATGAACTTAATTGGTCATTGTACAACTCACGGCCATGCTCCAGATAATCCTGCAGCTCAAATTATTTTTCCAATTTCTTGAATGAGAGAGAGAGGAAGGGATCATCAAAAGCAAAAACAAAAGCTATGGTATGAAAAGCAATGAATCTGTTTGGTTACTAGAAGAAACCGTTTGTACCCTCCTTTTGGAGTTGAGAGGAATATAACGACATGGGTTATGAAATTGCACAAATGAAAAAAAATCGATACACCGCTGTTTTTATAAGGAGTTATTTTTTATCCACTAAACAAAGAAAAATGTTTTACACAGTCAATGAAACATGAGGGCCACCTATTTTTAAAAACTGCCATAAGTTTTTACTGCAAGTAATATAGAGGAAAAAAACTTTTCACTTTAAAAAATGCAGCACTTCTTTAGACCTACTAAAATTCAAATACTCAAGAAGCACCACAAGTATGTGAAGTGAAACAACAAAAGTAGAAACAAAGGCTTATACAAAAAGGCATAGACAATTGAATAATTAGATAAAATTATATATCTGAAATTCATTGCTAGAAAAAGAAATAACTGGTAATATTATTAGAGGGAAACCAGCATCAAATCAATGTAGGGTATTAACTCTTAGGAGAAGGTAAATAATTCCCAATGTGTCCCAGTCGATACAATATGACAATTTAATAATTAGATAAAATTATATACCTGAAAATTGGGGCACAGCAGCATTGTGCACTTTGTCAGTAACATCATCAACAAATTGGTCTTATATAGCCTGATGACTGTCTGAGAATGCTGGAACAATCTCAGAATGGACTCTTGTCACTTTGTCACTGTCAATAACTTGATCATATTTAGTCCGCTGCTTCAATATATTCTCGCCATCTTGGTAGCAGTAGACCACTGCCATCACACCAAAAATTCATTGCTGATCCATGTCACCCTTAATTTTTCATGAGTTCCAATCCGTGAATGATTGTAATGGATTTGTTATTATATGTTCTTCATCCTAGATTACCATGTGCAATCATAGAAAATTTAACAACATAATACAGTGATATTATGATGCAAATAAAGATATGGATTGTCAATGCTCAAGCTATTTCTAAACTTAGAACACCATCGCCTTCAATGCCAAATAAAAAAGACAAGGGAATTCCTCATCACAATTGACTCTTTAGGACATTTAAGACCCACTTCATTTAGGATTGATCATAGCATCATTTTCACATTATCTCATTATCTGTCCATAGACCATTTGTCACACATTCTTCTGGGCAAATACCTTCAACAACCTTTTGGCATCAGCATTTTTTCCTGGTATGGAAAAATTTGAACTGATATATAAGAGAGTGTTCTCAGATGGCACATGTCCTTTTTCACACATTTCTCTCAGTAATTTTTTCGCCTCAATTCGATATGACAGTTTAAGTGCCCTATCAATCTCTGGCTGATAGTATAGTTTGCACCATCCACAGATTAGAATGTCATATGTTGAAGAATTAGGGATTCTTCCTCTTGTCAACATCTCATTCAAAAGTTCTCTAGCTTGGCGCATCTTTGCTGCTTTGGCATAATCATGAATAAGTACATTGTAGGTTCCGGTGGTGGGAGCAAAACCTTTAGTTATCATTTCGCAATAAAGTTTTATTGAATCCTGTTTATTTCCAACCCTACCATGGCCAGAAACCAATATGTTATAAGTAGTGGCATTTGGGAAAAGTCCTTTTTGCTTCATCTCACTAACTAATTTATCTGCCTTTCTCATCAAACCAGCAGTTGAAAGACATCCTAAAAGGGTATTGTAAGTTGTAATGTTTGGAGATATTCCATCCACCATCATCTGTGAATAAGTATTAAAAGCCTTCTCCAAATGACTTCCTGTACAGTAACCACGAATAAGGGCATTATAAGTAACAACATCAGCTGAAATTCCTTTTGTCACCATTTCATTAAGCACCACATTTGCTTTTTTGGTCATCCCTAACCGGCATAACACAGTGATTAGAGTATTGTATACTGTCTGGTCGAGCTTGAGGCCCATAGCCACAAGCTGCTTGTGAATTTGCAAAATTGCATCTGCTTTTCGACTCCTTGAATATGCTTTAAGCAGAAACTTGTGAGTAATTGGCATAGGTACAAACCCCTTAACCAACATTTCATTCAAAACATCCATTGCTTTTTCGGTTGCACCAGATTTACAAAGCCCACCAATCAGAATGTTATACGTAACAACATTTGGCATTACCCCATAGCTCTTCATCTCATTCAATAGATCCAAAGCATTTTGTGTATTACCTTGTATGCAGTATGTGTTAATTACAGAGTTATATGTAACACAATCTGGAGTCAAACCCAAATCTAGCATTCTTGAAAACACAGACTGTGGTTCATATTTCCCCAGCCTCAAAAGCCCTGTAGTCATAGCATTGTAAGCAACAACATCAAACTGCATGTTTTTCTCCATCATTTCCTGTACTACGGAAAGAGCAGCTGATTCGTTTCCTTCTTTGAAGTAGCCATCTGTTAGAGAAGTGTAGTTAAAAATATCTGGATAAATACCCTTGGAATGAAAATCTTCAATTAATGACTGAGCTTCCACCATCCTTCCAGCTCTTTTCAAGTTGTTCAATAAGATATCAAATATGATATTGTTTTCCTTCAATCCCCATGATTTCATTTCCTTATAGAAACCAGCAGCAGCTTCTTGTTGACCTGCCCTAAAATAGCCATCCATTAAAATAGCATAAATAAAAGCATTTGGCATAATATTCCTTTGGGCCATCTTCCTTAACACATCAACTGCTTTGCCGAGCATTCCTTTTTTGGCATATCCATTTATAATAGAAGAAAAAGTAATAATATTCGGAAGAACATGTTTCTTCTCCATTTTTTGCAACACTGACTCTGCAAATTCCATGCCTCCTAACTTACAATAACCATCAAGCAATGCCGAATATGTGACACAGTTTGGGACAAGATTGAGCTTTAAAATACTTTGGAACATTTCCTCAGCCTCTTTAGATTTCCCAACTTTGAAAAGTCCATCCATCATAGTTGTACACAAAACCAGATCAAAAGAAATACCCCGAACAACCATTTGGCTTTGAAGATTAAGAGCTTCCATTACCCTCCCTGATTTTAATAATGAATTAATAAACGTAGTGTATGAGACGTGATTAGGATCTGAACCCATTTTATACATTTCTCTTAGCAGAAGTGCTGCTTCAGTTAATTTACCATGCCTGCAAAGTCCGTAAAGAATAGAACTACAAGTAACCACATCAGGCATAATTCCGCTCATAATCATTTGCTCATACAGAGAAAGGGATTCTTCGATTCCACGATGCTTACAATATGCAGTAATTAATGTCGTGTACGTAATAAGTGTTGGCTGCAAATCTCTCATCTCATCCCTCGTTTCAACACCATAATCTTTTAACTTACCACATTCTCCATCCCTCATTCCAACACCACGAAAGCCCAAAATACCGTTGATAAGTGACTCCGCCCTAGCAAGATCACCCGTTTTACACAAAGCATCGAGCAAAGTGTTATAAGTAACAATATCAGGCTTGACACCACTCTTCCAGCTATTCTCCATCAAAGCCAATGCCCTATCCGTCAATCCAGCTTCACAATACCCATCAATCAGGGTATTCGAACCTACAACATCTTGTGGAATGCCCCCATCAACCAAGTTGCACATAACCCACTCTGCATATTGAACCAATCCAATTTGGCAATACCCTTTAACCAGTATATTGCAAGTGACTGAATCAACACTGACACGCCTTTTAACCATTTCAGACAATAACCCAAAACCTTGATTAGTCAATCCATGCTTACAAAATCCCCAAATAACAGTATTATAGGTAACAGTATCAAAAACATTGTTCCTGAGATACCCTAAAGCCAAATCCAATTCCCCCATTTTGCATAACGAATGAACAAATACATTAACACTACAAACATTAGGCACAACCCCACAAAAAAGCATCTCGGAATACAACACTTTTACCTGAGAAACCAAACCAGAGGCATTGAATTCATACAAAATATCGTTCCACAAAGGCAAAGAGGGAACAAGACCAAGGGCACGCATGCGGAAGAAAGCATGAGAGGCAATGCAGAACCTGCCACATGCCAAGTAGAGGCGAATGAGGGTGCAAAAGAACGAAGCATAGAGATGGGTCTTCATGGGTGGGATCAAAATCGAATCCTTATGAAGGTGGGAAGAGAATCTTCTGATGGGAATCAAAGGGTGGTCGTTGATAGAGTAGGGAGGACGGTACGAGGTTCTGGTGGAAGAGAAAACAAACACGAGGGTCTTGCTTTGAAGCTTCTTCAGATGCATCATTTCTGAGAATAACACACAGCACAAGGAGCTTCAAACGTTCTACGACATGGTGGGGTGTCAATTCAAGTTTACCGGCACTGCAACGGCGTGGACTATGGTGGAAGCAGAACAAGAAGAGATTGTTTCCGCGCTTCTTTGTTTTTTTTTTTTTTGGGTTCAGTAATCTCGATGTCTTAAATTTGGGCTTTATGAAAAGAACCAAAAGAAGGAGAGATGATTCTTGCACTCTTTTCTTTTTCTCACATCTTATTAATTTTAATTTATATATTTTCTAAAAAAATGTTTTCAATTCAATATTAAACTTTACATAAATTACAAGTATTACTTCATAAATAAAATTACAAGTATTACTTCATAAATAAAATATTTTCAATTCAATATTAATTCAATTTTGATGTTTTAATAATTTTTTAATTTAATATTTTATTTTAAATAATCATATATATATATATATATATACACACATTTAATTTAAAATATTAAATAAATATTTAGTAGATATATTTTTTTGAGATATGATTGAAGATAAATTATTTTTGATAGAAACATAGTCACTACAAATAATTTAGTAGATATATTTATTGACTAAGTCTTTTTTTATAAAGAAGTGCGAACATATTTAGTGAATGTTCACATAGTTTGGAGCGCGTTAGCAGGAAAGTTATTCTTAATTGCTAATGATTTAGAAGAATTCAAGTTAAAGTAGAGAGTTTTTTTGTTTGTAATATGATGTCCTCCTATTAAACAAAAATAAAAAGTTAGAGTAAGAATGAAAATGAAAAGCTACTAACCCAAATAGTTCTTTTGACACATACGATTTCTTCTCCATGCACTCTGTTTCTTTTGTTATTTTGCATGTATACATGTTTATGTTGATTTGACTATTTCGTATGCTTCACTGCGCTTATTGCTACCAATTTTATTTTGTTGACACTTTTATGATACTATATACTTGTTTCTGTTATGTATGATAGACTATCTTATCATAGTTATTATATATGGATAATTATTTTTTAGAATTTATATCTTCTTATTATAATAACAGATTTATTAAACAATTAAATTTTTTTTAGCTTTCTTAACATGTAATATATATATATATATATATATATATATATATATTTATTTATTTATTTTTTATTTTTTTTTTCTTACATAATGAGTCTTTCTTAAATACTACCATGAATCTCATGTATTAAAGTTTACTTAGGATGTTGTTCTAAAATAAAAAGAACAAATAAGTACTTAATGATTATATACTTATTATATATGTAAATCAAGGTAAGAAGTTTTAAATGAAAAAAAAAATCACATAATAAATTTTTTATTTAAAATTATGTGAATCTATATATATAATCATTCATTTAATAAAATAAAAAAAAGTGCAGAAAAACCATTCACCCTTCATATTTAGAAGATACTAAAGACTATAACAATTAATCTATTATTTTAATTTCTTATATTAAGTGCAGAAAATCATTCTTCCTTTTTCTTCTTTTGCACAAAATAAAGGCTCAATATAAATAAAAAGGCTAGATTTAAATAAATAAACTTTGAATAAATTGGACAACTCATGTTTTCTTTAGAGTTATATTCTATTTATTGTTTTATTTTCTTCCGTAATTTTATTAATTTTATAAACTTCTATTCTTAAATTTGAATTTAAACGATTAATAACAAATTTTTATTAACAATTAAAATACTTATTATCTTTTATATCTATAATGTAATAATGTTTTAATAAGGTTATTGTTTTTAAAATATGTAAACTCAATTTTAGATATTTAAATTAATAAAAATTTAATTTTTTTAAATCAAAAGAAAAAATTCATTCACATCGTTCAGAGGACAATGGAAACTAGCACTTTAAGTATAATGGTTAAAACTATTTATAGGTGAAGGGAAAATGACATAAAGATATACTTTGATACATATTTTTCAACATTTTATTATTAGATAAATTTTATATAAATATAAATCTAAGAAAAAACGTAGAATTCCCTCCTCATTTTGAACGACTCTTTAACGAAGTCCATATCAACATCACATAATAACAGTAAGTTTTGTTTTAAAAAAGGGATCTAAGATTTTACTATTGATGTTTATTATTTTATCATTATAAATTGAACACACCCGTCGACGGTATCAGCATAAATTAAAAGTGAATCAAGCCTCTCATCTTTATTATTCCTCCCCGGTCATTACACCTAACATTTATTCAAATATTATCATATTTTATTATCCAATTCAGATAGCTCACACATCACTAATTTTTAGTTGCATTTCCAAAAAAATCCCACCAAATGACTTGGGAACAACATTAACAGATAATCACAATTGAAAGTGTGTTTTACATCATCAGTGAGTTACAATACTATGCAAATTCACCAACCTGAGACTCCGCAAATAAGAATCTTCAGAGGGACGCGTGGTGATAGAATTAGTGGAATGAAAAACTATTAGCCGGTTTGGTTAGTGAAAGCCGACTTCCATGCATAAAAAAAAAAGGGGAAAAAAATACCTGTACTGAATGCTTGTACCATTCCTTCAGTTAGAAAAAAGCTGAATCAATTCTCAATTCCAATAGGTTACTCTGTCTGAGTATGCAGCATCATGTATATAAACCACAGAAATGCAAGTAAGCGTTGGACTTGGCTCATCATCTGTCTTGTGAAACCGATCTCTTTGCATTTCCAGGATACACAACCGATACAGCATTGCTTGGGAGGACCAAGATGTGGTATCTTACAAAATCTTTGACCAGTATCTCACCCCATTTCAGTGAGGATCTTATATTGGTACAAAAAGTTGGCGTTGCAGAGTGACAAAATGACTGAGACCAAGCACCCCACTCAGTGGAAATGGTCCAACCCAACAGCCATTCTCCATATTGTTGAAGTGGAATCGGTAAAATATAAATGCCCCAACAACAGCAGTAATACCTTAAGCGAGATTGAAAAGTGCACTACTTTTTTCAAGGAATTGGCGGAGCATTCCTGGGATATCTAGCAGAAGAGGGAATCCTCTGCAGAGTTCGAGGGTGAGGGTATTCTTGCTTTAAACGTTTATTTGAGTATCCATGATGTGACCTGATCCACAAAAATAGTTACTAAAAGGAGTACTCAAAGGGGGTAAGAAAACAATTGAATTAAAGAAATAATATCATTTTGAGAACTTAGAAGCCAATTCTATCAGTATTTGCTTGGTCTAATTTTTGTTTTTTCCTAAATATTGTTGGACCGATAGAAGACAAGATAGCTCACACTGCACCATATAAACTTCAATTTGAAAGAAACCAATAGGGTTGCAATAGAGAATACACTGCAGGTTTTTCATCATCACTAGTAGAGCATATGAAGAAGGAGCTAACTGCAAAAGTTAAAATTTAAATGTGTGCAAACCACCACGGGCTAGGATCAAGAAAGCACAGCATGGGAGAGTATAGACTAAAGTTTATCAATTCTGCAAAAATAAAACATGTAAGAAACTTGAATACACATAATCTGCTAATCAAAATAATACCTGGGAGAGCTCTGCCGTCTCTGAACACTTTGACCAAGCCTTGTTCTTAAACTTCCAAGTGCCTTCTCGGCAGCCTAAAGACAGAATGCATCTTAGTGGTCCAACACCATATTGGAGAAAATCAAATTAAGACGGCATATCCGTATTATTATTTTATATTTAAAGAAACCAGTATACCTGCATTTTAGCCTCGTCCCATGTTAATCCGATCCCTTTACCAAATACCTGGCCGTCTATTTCAACCTAAAATATATATATAAAAAAAGCTATTGAAAATAGTGCAAGAGCTTTTTATTAAAATAAAAATGCAAGAATTAAAGAGTAAGATCTAAGTGCAAAGATAAGCAAAATGAAAAATTGTATTATGGCAACGAAAGCTTCCTAGTCATAGTTTATAGCCCCCCCTGGCTACAACTATGTTGTTAAAAGAATACTACCCAATACACCTGAAGCCCAGATTCTAGACAGTAAAAGAGAATTACCGTTCAACATTCACCCTTTAACTTCCCTCATAAATATAAGAGCCATAAACCACATAAATAGAAGGGAAAGCAACAGTATTTCTAATATTTCACCCTGGAGTTCTAACAAACCAAATATAAAGAGAAAAATTAAAATGGTAGCAAAATGTCTCTCAAAAGGAAAAAAGAATTAAAACATATTTAGACAAGACACGATTTAGAAAGAAGGAAGCACAATCATTTTGCAAATTAATGAAGCTAATATTGTCAATTCAATTGGTTTGGACCACTGAAGCATTTGATTACAAACCTGTGCATGTACTTCATCTTTCTGAACTGAATTCGTTGACACTGGAGCAGGTGCAGGTAGAAAATTGACACCAAGACCCTCCATCATGCACTGACGAAATTGAGTGCAGAAGTCATAGCATATCAATAACAAACATTAACAGAGTTTAACGAAAACAAGGAAAAAATAGGTTGGTCAATTTTAAAAATCTCACCAATTCTTTGAGGGCAGAAATTGAACCCATTGACCTCTTAGCAACATCCAACCTAGGATCTAAAACCCTTGATGGATCAGAACCAGTTGAAAATGAAATGGAATCCTCTTTGGGCAATGGTTGATTACCAAGAGAGCTAATGTTACCCACATAACCATTGTCATTTGCATTAGGAAACCCACTCACATCTCCATATGTAGAACCAAGCTCATCCTTAGCACAAGACAAATATATATCTACAAAAAATCCAAAAAAGGTTAAAATGTAATTATATGGAAACAACTTTTTCCAAAAAAGGAAAAAAGATCCTAGAGAAAGTAAGAACATTGTTTTAAAATAACATAAGCTAGAAATGTGTGTCACTGAAAATGATCGTTTTGCTAATCATAATCAGCTTTCATTTTTCTAACACTGGGATCTCATAAGATATATTAGTTGGTTAAGTACTTGAATAAAATTTGTAAATCAAATTATAATCTCAATTTCTTATTCATCATAGCTAAAACAAACACCCACCCAGAGATCTTTTAGAATTTAGACCAACTCTCCAACAAGCTTAATTGTTGGAGGGACACCCAAGAATAGATTTACCATTTCAGATCTCTAAGAATCCTCATCCAAGAGCCTTCCAAGCTTGAAGCATGGATAATACATACGCCCACTTTAACTTATGCTGAAATTTATTTAAATAATAAAAAACAGGGCAGTAAGGCTCAAAATGTTGGTATACCATGTCAAAATACCAACTCTCTTAAAGGCCAAAAAAGGATTTAAAATTTATATCTCTAACAAGGTATAAACTGATTTTTTTTTTTATAGCAGGACCATACTATGAGCCGAATATGCCATTAAGACTCAACAGGAAGCCAATAGGTTGGTCTACCAAGATAGGCCCTGCTATTGATGTTTTGAATTTTCTTGGTCAGAATACTAAATGCCAAAAATACAACACAAAATAATGTAGTCCGGAGAGTGCTATATAATGCTACAGCAAGTTAAAATTAAAAAGAAAAAAGAAGAGATTATCATACCAGCCAAATGTTTCATAGAATCCTCAGCAGCCTTGTGTTGAGCTTCCTTCCTACTTCTGCCAACTCCATGACCAATTTTTCTTCCAGAAAACCATGCCTGCAAATAAAAATGACAATTAGGAATTGACAAAGTCAAATAAAAAATTCTGCTTAAACAGAATCGTAAAGATATTTCAACTATTTAATTTCCCTCTACAGGAAGCAAGATGGAATCAGCTTTGAGCCTCCAACTTAAGATCATATTAAATTTATGAGTGAGTTCCCATAAAACAAAACATCCATTCATCAAGGTACCCAAACCTTGGGTTTTAATATATGAAAGCTAACCAATTGGTATGTTAATACAATTTTGTCAAGTTAATTAAGAATGTGGATTATTTTTTATCGAGTCCAGAGGTATCGTGTGATTCATGTAATTAAATCCACCTAATACAATAAGGCTTAGATGTTGTTGTAATTAAGAATAGGGAAAATATAAATCAAATGCAGCAGATTCACCAATTCAAGAAAAGATGTTTTACTCCAGTGAATGAAAATCAAACTAACTCACAAATAACTCCAATTTACAAGAGAAAATATAAAATGTAGAAATTCATAAAAACATATTCAACAAGTCATCATAAAGTCTTGCTGCCCAAAATGAAAGATACCTCAATGGAGAACTGCAGTTCTGCACTTGAAACCAAAGATGACATAAATTCCACCTATTCACATTAAAGCAAAGAAACTTTAAACAGTAGAATGAGAAATTAATATATCCAATGATGCCCTCTAATTATTACCCAGCAGATACACAAATTCCAAGTTACCTTAGTTCCACATTTCAATGCAATGTCCTGTAATACTACAGCTGGATTATCCGCATGCAATACAGAACCAGATTCAGAGTCAAGATCCCTGTGGCTGGAAGATGACCTACTAAAGGGGATATCATCACCTTCACAACAACCATGACATTATGTCATTTGAATGATAACACTAAAACAAATTGATTTGGAAAAAACAAAACAAAATCAATTCAATCCCCCATAACAAAACAAAAACTAGACAATAAGGGTGTTTGTTTCAAGGTTGTAGAATTATGCCTTGAAAAGCGGGAATATACCATTCATATGCTTGGGACAAAGGCAATCATTGCAAAAGATATATTAAGTTTTTTTTAATGCTTATGCCCAGCTAAAAAGTAAATGAAGACAAAGGTAATCAATCATCTCAAAAGATATTTATTATAAAGAAAAAAGGATGTATTTGTGACAGTCCAAAAAACAGATCTGTGAAAAATAGTTAAAAACCAACCTTAAACAGCCACAACAATTTAAAAAAATATATAAATTCAAAGAACCAACTTAAACAAAAGTAATCCAACAAAATTACATTTCCAGAGTGCACAATACCATCAACATTTATGGGTGCTATAGACACAGAATACTTTGGGGGGGGGGGGGGAGACAGAAGAGAAACAACCAAACATGTAGTAGTAAGCGCTACAGCTTACCAGATAAAGAATGATAACTAGAGAGTGTATGGCTTAATCTTGGGCGATCATCTCTGTGATAAATCTGCAAAGAAATTATCTTAGCACAATTAATTGACTAAATAATCCCAAATTATGATTCTCCTGCAAAACCTCAGATGATTAACTCAAACACAGCCATTACCTCCTTTGGCAACCTTTGGTGGCTGTCATGGAGAATTCTATCAGATGAAATAGGACTGTCAACCTTAGAGAAAAAGGATGGATGATGTGGCCGGTGCTTTTCAACACACAACGGACCAGAATCTACAGGAAATTCTTTAGGCACTACCCGGTTTAGTGGCTGTGAACCAATCTCCTCTTCTACAGGAAACCACCCTCCGCGTGACGGTACGCGAGGGGCAGAGACTGGCATGGGAGGTCTAATAGGAAATGGAGGCTCACTAGATGCATGATCCCTGGTATCTTGTCCATGTTGCAATATGAGAAGCCTACGCCTTGTATCTGGGTCTAATTCTGATTCAGGTACTTCACCTTCTTCTCTAGCAGGGGAGCTATGCAAGCTAGATTCGGAAGGGGCAGCTTGACCCATTGGCTTTACTAGAGTAGCAGGTGGAGCTAACTGTACCTGGGAAAATGGCATCATAGATGCTTGTGAAGTTGGTGGAACTGAACTAGAAGACACCGTTGTGTGCTGAAGAGAAGTGAGCCTGGGATCTAAATTAGTAGTTGTCACAGGAATAGTTGAAGCTGCTGATAGTGCATCCTAACAGTAACCACAATTACAAAAAATATAAGACAAGCTTCATGTTTAATATGTATATCACAGTTCTTATATATTCATTCAGAGCTCATGTTGATACCTTCAATTTTCTTTCTACCTCAGCATCTGCCATGCCATCAAACAAGAATGGATCTCTGTTTCCATTGGAAGCAGCTCCATCATCCTGAGTTTCAGTAAAATATAAACAGTCAAACACAAAGAAGACAAACTTAAATGATATAAAATTTGCTTAAACTAGACATAGTATATGCCCAACAGACAAGAGGCAACAAAAATATGTATATTTATACGTAGACAATCACTAACCTCTGAAACTAGATAATTGCTCACATCAGGGGGAGAAGGTGTATCTTCGATTTCATCTTCATAGGCAACTTGAGGAATCTTCTGCAAAAGACCATCATCGAAATCCCTGTCACCAAATCAGAATGTCATAATCAAGTCCACAAATCCAATTTAGGATTTACATTTATACTGACTGGAGATAAGTAAATTGCTCAAAAATCAACCTCTAACTATTAAATGCAGATTTTCCCAGTTAGGCAAGGAAAATGAGTGAATCTGTGCAAACCCCACCTTCCCCAAAAGTTGTATAAATAAGAGGTCAAAATAACTTTTAAAAGGTTAAACTTACTTAAAAAAGCCACCCCTAACATTGCAAGCAACATTTCTTGCTACACACAAGACAGGGACAGTATTGCTTGCCTACAAGATAAACAGGTTAAATCAGTTCATATTGCTAAAAAAGGGCAAAATTCCATTCATGCAACTGAAAGTATTAGGCTTCCAACTATATAAGAAAGAAAATTTACTTCAGCTTGAGGCGCATAGTATGGAGCAAATGCAGGGACAACATGCACACGAGGTTGATCCTTCTCATCCCAGACTTTCAAGCGATCATCAATTACCAATGCCATCTTTGGATGGCAAAAACCATTTTGGAAGACATTGAATAATGACTTCTTCAAACCTGTTATTATATTATTTAAACACCATAGAAGTATGACTCGTAAATGAAAGAGCATGAAACACAGGCATATAATATGGCACAATAATAAAACACAGAGAATAGAAAAACAACCATGTCACTTACCAGACTTAACACATACAATGCGACCTAATAGTTCTTTAGAATTTATCAAATTTGAATCAGGATCAAGAAGCCTCCACATTTCTAGTGCATAGTCCCTTTCAGCCATAGTGCAGACATAAACCTCAAAACGCTTGCGCCCTCTTGCAGTCAGGTAGCTCCGAAGATCTTCCCATGCAGGTCTCAACCTCACAAGAACACTTGTATCCCGAATCTTTCCAAACACACAAGTTTTTGTTAGACTAATGATTCCGTCAAGTCTATCTGCTTGTATATGCTATAGACAAACAGATAAAGCACAGCTTATCTGTTATTCTGTTTATGTATACATCATCAAATCTATAATGCACTACAATGTGAAAATCACATTACTCTATCATCCAAACAATAGAATAAGCAGAAGTCACATCAGTGACAATGAACGAGTCACAGGTCTTGATCCAATTGAGAAATCAGTCAATAACTATAAATATGACTTGAAAACAGGACTAAAGTAGAATAATAAAATGTAGAAGAAAAGGCACAAGCCCAACATGTGGCAGTAGATACACCTAAACAAGTAGATACAAATTATATACCTGTGGATTGATCCGTGTCAGAATAATGTTCTTATCCTGTAACCGAATCAGTGGTCGAATAATAGGTTGATGAGCATCAGATAAAGCTGGAACAATCTCAGATTGAACTTTTATCACTCTCCCATTATCAACAACCTGATCATTTTCAGCATATTGCTTTAATATATTCTTGTCATCTAGGTAGCGTTTGACCTCTGCCTGCATACTGGATATTCGTTGTGGATCACCCTCAGTGTTTATTTTCCTCTGGAGTGCATCAATTCTATCCTCAAATGAGCGCATTGTGTTTGCAACAATAAGTGTTTCATCCAGATCAAACACTATACCCAAGCATCTAAGATTTAACATCACAAGGCATGAATCATAAAGTCCCAAGGCAACAATAAATCCCCAGAAGCATGGTCTATCATCATTCCGTGAATGCATTGCAACCAAATGTAATTCTTCCCCACATAGTAGTATTACAGCAGTCTGTAGGGGCCAACATTGGGACCATAGTTAAAATTCAGCAAGAGAATCACAGAGAGAAAAAAAAATCACTGATAATCACATATAATCAAACATTACCAATGTCCAAAAAAACAAAACTACACATCTTTTGAGTAACGATACATGGACATATTTGCAACTCTGTTCATGATATAAAAGAACATTTTACTGACTGCAACTGAAATTTTCAATAAATTCAAGATTCTTTCTCCAGCTAAAACCCTAGCTAGCATAGATACTACATTTCACTATCATCACAAACTTCTTGACATAACAATCAACCCCTAGCAAAAATTGCCATAAGATCAATCAGAAACAAGCGTCTCCATAAAATAGTCTCATTGAACATCATGACCCTTAGTTCAGTTTAGACATAATGTCAAATACCGGCTCTCTGTTAAGTGACCAATTATAGCCAGTTCCTTCACCATCTGGGTTCAAAACAGCAGATTCAGTAAGTTCAGGCAAATTATTACAAAAATTCTGGTAATATTAACACACAAGTCATAAGTGGGTTATCCAAAGATTCCAGTGCAGTCCTCTCAGATTATGTCCAGAGTCAAATTGTTATGGAATATAGGGCTTTAATGAGTGTTTTTTTTTTCCCTTTTCTTTTTAATTTTTACCAAATGTGTTACTAGATACCTTGTTCTCTCTGATACATAAGGAGTGCAAGTGAAAGAGGCCATCCTGCTGCTGAGTCTTTGACTCCATTTTGAAGCAAACACCACATGAAGTAACTGTATGAAGAACAGCAAGTGGGGGGCACCTCTCACTGGGTTGCGAAAAGTGGCTTATTCTGATATCCTTCACATCGATTTTCTTGGAGTAGTTCTCTTCTGGGTATATATCTACCTCACCCAACACCACCTCCCCCTGATACACCACCGATTTATACATTCCCTTTTTTGTTCCTTCAAATCAAATCACAAACACAAAGTCTTTGGAATTTCATCAAGATTCCGCGTAAGTAAGGGAAAAAATATTCATCATCATCATCACCGCCGTCAACAACGCTTTAAGATTCATCTGATTTTCGCATTACCAGCAAAAAAATATGTATATATAAAATAAAAAATGACAATTAGGGCCTTTTGTTTCGGAGAAAGTTTTAGATCCGTGATTGAAGGTGATGGCGGGTAAAAAATAATGTTCGAGGAACCGTAACGGTGGCTGCGTGCGTGTGATCGTGATTCTCCGACTCGGTCGCCGGTGAATGGTTGTTTTCGTGTAGTTTCGGTGGCGATGGTAGCTAGGGTTTGATGATGGTTGTGCGTGTGTGAAGATGATGATGATCGTCAGAGGAGAAACCCTAGATCCGGAAAACGAAAGGTCAAAAACAGTACTGCTCCCTAATGCGTAAGCCACTGCTACTAAATAATATACTAACGTTAAAAAATTATCATTGTGTTCTTTTTTTAATTTGCTAAATTTAATGGAAAAATAAACAATGCATATATTTTCTTTCTCTCTCAGACTCTGACTCCCTACCCATAATAATATAATACATATAATTTTTTTTTAATTTTTATCGGGATAATTTTTAAATTTTATTAATTATAACAAATCTTATATCAGGAATTATACCAAAAAAAATCGTATATAAGGAATACAAGTTATTAAAAGTAAGTTATTTTTAAACTATGGGCCATTAAATTAACTTTTAAATAAATTGTGATTCAAAAATACAACTCATAGTCATATATATGAGTAATGTGAGTAATAAAAATACAGTTAGTTTTTATACTAAATAAAAATGTATGTACTATATTTACCATTTATATTTTTTTATTATATAATGAGTCAATGATTTATTTTCTATCAAACTAAAGGAGTAGTTTCGTGCTTTACATGGAAAAATAACCTCACTACAAAGAAAAACCAGAGTAATTTACTTTTTAATAATAGAAATTAAAAGAAAAAGTAACTAGAAAAAAAAACTTAGGTGAGCAGTTAACACGCATTAATTTCCCATATAGGTTTACTATACAGAGATTGTTGCATTTTCTTTCTATTTTTTTTATTGGTATAACTTTTAAATTAAGAAAAATGTTGACCTTGATTTTAAGAAATTAAAAATATTTTAATTGGAAATTTTAAAATTTTAAAATTATTGAATAAAAAATTGTTTTTAAAAATTATTTTTACTAATAATTTTGTAACACATGTTCTTATTTATTGGTCATGCACAAGTGTATTAATAGTTTCTTCATACTTTTATCAATATATAAATTAGATATATTTGTCTTACTAACTTTTTTAGTAATATTAAAATAAACTAATAAAAAGTATATACAATATGTAAAAAAATGTTAAGTAAATATCACAATATTTGAATTTATTTATTTATTTATACCACAATATAATTCTGTTTGAACCAACTAAAGCTAGTATTTTTTTTTTCTTTTAAGATGAGCAAATTTGAAAACAAATAAAACTATCTTATAGAAAAAAAAATATGCATGATGTAAAACCATAACAATCTCCAACTAATAACAAATTAATACATATGTATGTTTTTTTTAAAAAATTAACATATGTTAAAAGTATTCGAAATCACATGATCCCAAATCATATAATAATCTATTTTTTGTATGCATCTTTTTCTTCTATGAATTCTTTCAACTCTTTTTTTTTCACTTTATTGTATGATTTTTTTTTCTAATTTTTGTAAATATTGTTAGGCATTTTAATATATAAACATCTGATGATTAAAAATTAAAAAATAACTATAAAGTCTGTAAGGCACTGCAACTTATTGAAGATATTGGTTGTAATAATCTAACATGTAGATTCCATGAATTTCATGCAATGCCCTTGATTAAGAGGAATATTTTGAAATTTCATAGCTATGGATGCATTTTCTTTGACAAACAATGGTTACAAGGTCTATCCATACTTGAGGGATAACAATTAGAAAGTATATTTATACACACAATAACTGTGATTTTTTTTTCTAACTGCAAAATGTTTCATTCAAAAGGCTCTATAAACTAAGATATTATAATTGTCTTGAGTTTGAAAATGATTATCCACATATTCTGATGATATTCTTAACATAAGTTTTTAAAAAATCTTATTATACTTTTTAAAACATTTTTCACAAGATAACTATGATATTAGATACTTAAAATAATGAATGAAGTAAAAAGCACAATGGTACACAAAATTTTATTCCACTTCACTCTAATCATAAGTGTTGCTTCTGGTCTTTGATACAGAGATCATAATTTTTACTATGTACAAAGTTGAGTCAAACTTGATTCAACTAAAGTTCACAGATAATCTAAATTAGCTTGTTAACTCAAATCACATAAATCAATAATCAAAATTTTAGCTTGAATTTTTTACATTTCAAATTCGCAACTGGTAAATTTTAGAAAAAAAAATATAGCTAATTAACAATATAGTGTAATATAAGAGAGAAAGTATATTTAAATTACTATAAACAATTCACATGACTAATTTTCATGTTAGTCACTTCAAATTCACAATTTACTAGCTTTTAGATAAAAAAAAATTACCCAAATGACAAATATAATATAATAATGGTTTATTCAAAACAAATATATGTTTAAACTACTATCACCAAGACATGTTAGTGTAAAATTTCCATATAGGTTTACTGTATTATAGATTATTGCATTTCCTTTCTCAATTTTTTTACTGATTTAACCTTTAAATTAAAAAAACATTGACCTTGATTTTAAGTAACTAAAACAAGTATTTTATTTAAATAAAAATTAATTAGATAAATTAAAATATAAATTAATTTTAATTAAACACGCTCAGAGATAAAGAGAAAATTAGTTTTAAATAAGAAGAATACAATTAAAGAATATTAGGTTTTGTGATTAGGAAAACCTTGGGCAACTCCTTCATTCAACCCCTGATTCCTCCAATTCGTTTAGCACTAATAGATCGTCCAGCAAACTTGCTTGTCCCCTTATGGGGATTCCCTCCCTTTTTGGACTCTTTCACCCTTTATGATTTTTATTCTTTCATGTATGAGATGTTTTTCACATTCTTTGTAGAACTTTTTATCCATATTAAGTTTTTTCCTCTCTGTGAGTGTTTTGTTTGACTTTTTTTTCCCCCATCATTTTATTTCCATCTGTGTCTTTTTTTTCTTATCATCGTGTTCTTATCCATATTATCTTATTGGAGATAATGGTCGCAATAACTTATCATGTGAATTTCATGAATGTAGTGGACTTGATTGAGAGAGATATTTTAAAACTTCATAGGATTAATTTGATGAAATTAAAGAAATGGTAAAAGTAAAAATTGTTAAAACCCATTTTAAAAGCAGCGTTTGTTTGAATTTATGGAGTAGTTGGTTTGGGGTTATTGTACGCACCACTAAGCCTCCACTCCACTGCACCCCTGTGAAATGCGAGAAGATACTTGGAAGGGTTTTGAAAATTTCTAAATGACGAAACTACCCTTTTGGACATTGACTAAAAGGGTTATTACTTGCCGGATAAAATAAACCACACTGGCCCATCGATTCAAAATTGCACGGAATTTGATAAAAAAATTTCAAATTCACAGCAAAACCCCAATTCAACTCAATTCAATTTTCCTTCGTCTTCTTCTTCTCTTGCTCTGTGTTCTTGAGCTGAACAAGGTGAATTTCAATCTCCCCAACCTTTCCATTTTTCCAAAAAAGCCCTCACCCCTATCTCAAAATGCCCAACTTCGACCCTTCCACATAGCCGCCACCAACCCCCACCACACACCGTCGATCTCCGATTCTCGCAGCGAAAAATGATCGTTCGCACCTACGGTCGCCGCAACAGAACCATTTCCAGAACGTGCTCTGCTTCTTCCCTAAACGACGACGTTTCGGAGCCCTTTGTGAGAGACTCCCTCTCCCAAGAAAGCGACCCTCTCTGCGGCTTTGCGTTCTCGTCGCAAGATTCGTCCTCGCATTGGTCCCTCTTCGATTCCGAGCCGAGCGCGATCGACGATTTGTGTGGCGGCGGAAGGGAGTCCAAGAGGTCGCGGCGCACGGCGGAGAAGAAGGCGGCGAACGGGAGGCTCTCGATTCCGGCGACGTCGACACTGATGGAGGCTCAAGAGTTTGGGGAGATGATGGAGCATGTGGATGAGGTCAATTTCGCACTCGATGGGCTTCGGAAGGGTCAGCCTCTGCGGATCAGAAGGACTAGCTTGTCGTCGCTCTTGTCCATTTGTGCCACCACACACCAGAGAAGGCTTCTAAGGACTCAAGGGTGCGTCAATTTCTCGTTAAATGTTTTCTTGCTTGTGAATCTTGAATCTGAAAATTGACTCTTAAAATTGTTGTTAGTGTGTGGGATTTTGATTTAATTTTTTGTTTGTTTGTTTGTTTTTTTTTTAAATTCTGGTGTTGGTTTTGTCGGGGTTTATTTCAAAATTTTAAATTTGGGATGGGTGAAGTCACGGGGTGTTTTTAGGTTCGCTTGATGTGTGTGGTTTTTAGATTTGTTGGCACTTTCAGATTTTGGTGATGATTCGAGAACTCTAAATTTTGTTGTCGATTTTGAATAGTTATCGCATATTAAATCTTGTTCCGTTTATGATTCTGGTATTGCAGACTTATACTTTCCTTTTAGGTACATTTGACGATGAGATCTCTTTGGTTACTTTCCAAGTAGAAATGTGATTAGCTGGAGCGTAGATAGTTTACAGTTTTCGGGGTTTACTTTTATTTCACTTAATGGACAATGTTGCCATCTTAACAAAAAATCTTTCCAGCACTCCTTTTTTTTTTTTTTTGGGTGCGATATTAATCATCACCCAAGTTTACTGACATTGGAGTGCCTGAATTGCGGAACTCAAGTTTACTGACTGCTTGAGCACCCATGTGTCCGTTTGATACAATCAGAATGATGTAAAACTTACCATGCAGGGTTTCATGATTAAAAAGATTCATAATATTGCTTTATCATTTGCCCTAGTACTATTTAATTGTCCGTGAGTGAGGCATGTTAATATTTTCTATCCATCTTAATTCTCAATAAGTTTGGAATTTTAAACTGAGTGCATGGATTGACCTCACTCCTGTATAGGAATTAGGAATATACCAGTATGGTTGTTTAGCTGATAAATCCCAGATTTTTATGCTTTCTAGGATGGCAAGGACAATAATTGATGCTATTTTGGGCCTCAGCCTTGATGATTCTGCCAGCAATCTTGCAGCTGCAACCCTTTTCTACATTTTGACCAGTGATGTAAGTCTTCTTTTGTTTGTGAAATTGCAGTTAGTCTACTATAAATAATGAAAGAAGTAATGGGTAGCATTAGCATCATTATTAAATAGCTGAGGAATTTCTATTCCATTAGTAAAGTATTTTACAAGTTGATAGAGCTAGCAAGCTATCATTCTCTTTTAATATAAATGTAATGCTATATCTAATAATTAATTAGTTTTTCAATTCTTTTTCTTGTTACTTGTTTGATCCTACATTCAGTAGGTAAGGATTGACATGTAGATTTTTGGAAGAAAAGAAGAAATCTACGTGTAGTTCCTATTGGGCAATCGAAACATTTTCTTGGTACAATGTCTTGGAAACTGTCTTTGGATGCAATACTTTGTATCTTTCATCACCTTAATTTATTTTAGACTTCTCAATTAAACTCTCAGCTGAACTTATTTTGCTGGGCATGTACATCCAAAATTACCTAGTCCACAATTTTCCTTTTAACTTTTCCTTAAAACCTTTCTAAAATTATTGCTCTGGTACTGTTCAAATTTATTTAAAATTTTTTTCATTACTCTGAGTGCTTTGTTCATGGTCAGTGGTAAATTTATGATGAAACATTCACTGTTTTATTTTGATCTGCCTGTTTTGTGATAGCTTGTAGGTTTGTCCTTGTAACTAGTAAGGAAATATAGTGCGGACATATTATAGATTGAAAATATATAGGATGACTACTATTTATGAAGAAATTAATCTGGAAAATCTACGCTAAGTTTATGCTTAGGCTTTGCTTCTGATCTTTTACGAACATTAATAGTGATTATTCAGTGGTATATACTTTCATTCTGGCACTTAGTTTTGCACTCTCTAATTTATCAATCTACATATTCACTATTAGTGTATATTTTACTCGATATGTTTTTGTTTCAGGGTCAAGATGATCACCTCCTTGAATCACCTGGTTCTGTTCAATTTCTAATCAAGTTGTTAAAACCAATTGTCTCCACAGCTACTAAAGACAAAGCACCAAAATTTGGCTCTAAACTTTTATCATTGCGTCAGAGTGATAGCATGCAAAAGAATACGACAGGAAGATTGGACTCCAGTTCTGTTGCAGTATTTTCTAGAGTTCAAGAAATTCTAGTAAATTGCAAAGAATTAAAAACATGTCAGAATGATGGTGGGGTGGAGAGGCCAGAATTATGCCCAAAATGGTTAGCATTGCTGACTATGGAGAAGGCTTGTTTATCTGCCATTTCTCTTGATGGTATTGTAAAGAACATTTATTTCCATATTTTGCATTATTGGCTGAAGATGTTCTTTTTCCTCGAATATATCTGGTTCTTTTAAATTCTAATGTTGGTTTTCTTGCACAAAAATAATAACAGATAATCAAATCTATTAATGTATAATGGTATTTATTTAGTGTTTAGAAATCAATGAATAGTATATGATATCAGTCTAGTTAATTTTATTCTGCTCAATTTCTGAAGGTGTCATCTTGATTTTGAAATACAAATAAAATTAGTTTATTCTCAGTACAGTGGTACTTAATTTTGTTGGAATCTGGGTTGTTTATATATAAATTTCTAGGGGGGGTTAATTTATTCTGAATTGTATTTCAGTGATATTTGTTTATGTGAATTTTCATCCCAAATTAATCAAGATTTTTCTGTTTTCACCTGTTAATTATGATTTCTGTTAAACTCTTTCTCCACACACAAGATATAATCCCTATAAATAGTTTGATGCTTGTAGTTTGATCAGGAAGTAACTTTGATGGACTTTGTAGCCTTGTGTGGTCCTGCTGACTCTATATATTCTTTTGTGGACCATCTTTATTAAAATCACTTCTGAGCATTTTTTTATTTTTTTCCAATGTTATGGGGGCGCTACTTGTATTCAGAAACCACTGGGGCTGTGCGGAAGGCTGGTGGAAATTTTAAGGAAAAACTAAGGGAGTATGGAGGACTTGATGCAGTCTTTGAAGTCACTCTGAATTGCCATTCAGATTTGGAGGTGTGAGCTTGTATGTTAGTTCAATTTACATGCTTTGCTTTATTTGTAATATACACAACTTTGGGAAAAAGGAGTTAAAAGAGACAGTTTAACAGAGAGTATTTTCTTTTTGTCATTTCTTGCTCTATTTTGTCTGACACTGTCAATTCTTCTATTAGCCTGTTTGGAATGTTCTCAAAATCACATGAAAAAATATTTAACATTTCCATTAATTAGATCCTAGGTGTGGGACCCACAAACACAAAAAATATATATATTTACACTCAAGTGATTCCACTTTATCATCCAACCAAAATCTTTTCTTTTAAAATCACTTTTTAAGTATCATTTCTCAAGCACAATTCCATTTTTAGCCTTAGTTCTTTCAAAATTGATTTCAATATGAATTCTTTCAAAATTATTTCTAACAAAATCTAAAACAAATTAATCCTATATTTGATTTCTTAAATAGATAATTAAAATTATGGTAACACACTGAATTTGTTTGTCAGAATTGGATGGAGAATAAATCTCTGTCAACCAAAGATTCGAGAAATGACAAACGTCTGAAGAGCCTAACCCTGCTTCTCAAATGCCTGAAGATAATGGAAAATGCTACTTTCCTAAGCAAAGACAATCAGGTTGCCATGCGTTCTTTGCCTGTTTGCTTATTATTTTTTTTTTTTATTTTTATACATATAACTTTTGTTATCTTGAATCTTTCCATCTGTACTGCACCATGCTTGCTGCAAGTTTTGTTGCATTCTTAGCTTGGTGAACTTGTTAATTTATCAATGTATACTTTAACATTTACTTTCTCATTTTTAGACTCATTTGCTTGGAATGAAAGGAAAGTTGAGTCCGCAGGCAACCCCATTTTCTTTTACAGAGCTGATTATAACTGTCATAAAGATCCTCTCAGGTAATGATCACACAAAAGGATAACTTCCTGTCTCTGCTGCCTTTTCCTTATTTAATTTTTTTAATTTTCAGTAATCATGTTATTTGCTATAATTAGTTTACATTTCTGATGGTTCTAAGCTTTTCTTCTCTCCATCACCCCTGCAAAAAATCTTCTAATTTCTAGATCTATGTTTACGCCGGAGTGCTTCTGTTGCATCAAATGATAACAAGCCTTATGATTCTTTCTCTATGATCAGTCATGATTCTGAATTGGATCAGCTCAGAAACTATAAAGGTACTGTATTGTCATTGTTTGGTTGTGATCTTTTTGTCTTTTCTGATTATAGTTACACATGCTGAAGTTCTGTGCAGATATTTGTCAAATCATTGTAGAACCTTTATACTGACAGAATCTATTGCTTGAATTGTGTCCATCTTTGAAGAGGAATAATAACTATTATTACTGCTATCACTTTCTCAGTTTTTTTAATTAACCTGCAAGAAAATATGAGACAATGAGTGATTGATCCCATTACTGATGTATATGCTCCTTGGAAGCGGATGAGAAGTAAAAGGTTAAAGTAACCACTCATTGTATGAAGAGGACAAATAGTAAATAAAGAGAATATTCACATTGTTAAGTCTGGAGCATAACTGAATACTGGGCTGGCAAGAAATAATGGGAGGTGGGAATCTGTTGGGGAGAAATGAGAATACAAGAAGGAAGGATAAATAGTGGACGGTGCGGGTTCTGCACTTCTGCAGAACTCTAGATTATCAGTAATTTCTTTTCTTCTATTCTGAAGAACTAATCTCCTTTGTTTTTATCAGTTAAATTCAGTTTCTATCAGCTGTAAGAAAATTTATTACCTTTCTTATTGAGCTTTGCAGAGCTAATGTCCTGGTTTACCATTAAAGATATCATATCTAAACTTGTCTCTATTCATTTATTGGGCAGAAAAATATTATTTAATCAAACAGAGAAGTGAGAATTGCCATTAGTGTTGGGATTATGTATCTTTCACCGTGCAGTCCGTGCTTATTATGCTTATAGTAAACTCTACTAATTGAAAGTGCGATTTGGAGTCATCTAGCAAAATATTTAAGCCTTGGATCTGAGCTTTTGATCATGTGGGGACCTTGATACAGAATTTGATCTACCTAGACTCCAGCGTACCTTTCTTATAGTTTGAATGTTCTGTGCCTTTATGTTATAAAGATATTTATTTCTTCCTATGTATTAGGGTTATTCTAAGCTGTTGTCACGTTTTGATTTCTGAAAGATAAATTGGTGTCTACAATTCATTTGAATTTGTGTATACTTCCTAATGTTGAAATAAGTTTGTCTTCAAATTACATGAATGTTCTTTCATTTGATTTTGCAGAGAGTGAGACTTTATCTGTCAGTTCCAGCAGAAAGTACTGTGGAGCAGAGAGAGCCTCTTCCATTAAGAGTTCTAAGGCTTCTCAGACCAGCCGACTGTTGAGTTGTTCTCAGTTGGAAAATTCGCTATCCATTTCTGAAACTCCAAGCACTTCAACTACTGATGCATTTTCGCTAAAGATGAGGGTCAGTTCTTCCACTTCTGGGTCTTGTGGTGCATCGAAGAGTGCATACTGTAAAACCTCCATGATCCAAAATAGTTCTAGGAAGAATGTTCGCTTTATGGAAGGTACCCCGCTTGTAACCTTGGATGATAGCCAAGATCCCTTTGCATTTGATGAGGATGACATTGCACCCTCTAAATGGGACCTATTATCAGGAAAGCAAAAAAAATCTTGCGCTAAAAAACATGAGGTAGAGATCAGAGAGTTTGAAAATGAATGTCAATCTCAGACCAATGTGAGCCAACAAGAATTAAGCAATGGGGACATCAATTTTTCCAGTTCTGATGTTGGCAATGAAGAAGATTCCAGCCTTCTAACTGATTGCCTTCTTACTGCTGTTAAGGTATTTTATCTGACTTAGTGTTTGTTCCATCATATATTTATCATTTATATCCAATTCTTCTCATAATGTTTGGATAATTGAGTAAAAGTGTTGGACATGTTTCCTCTCAGATCATTTGGTAGTTACTATAGTTAATGTTTAGTTGCAACTTGCAACTTTGGCTTTTATATGTCACTGTTATACACTATACTAATCCTCTAAAGAAATATCTTCTGGGCAAAATTCTTGCAATATTTATATACCGATAAACCGATCTGTAGACCAGAATATGTGCGTCTCCCTCTATCCTTTTATTTGATTTTTCTATTTTTTGTAGGAGCTCCTTCTATCAGGGTTTTTCTAATGCAGACGTCACTTAAGATTTATGCGCTAACTAATGTTTTCCCATTGTAGGTTCTGATGAATTTGACTAATGACAACCCTGTCGGCTGTCAGCAAATTGCTACCTATGGAGGACTGGAGACTATGTCTATGTTGATTGCTGGTCATTTCCCTTCTTTCAGCTCATCGTTGCCCTTCACACAGATAGATGAAAATGCTTCTAGAACTGAAAAAGACTGTCAATATGATAGGCATCTGACTGATCATGAGTTAGATTTTCTGGTTGCTATTCTGGGCCTGCTCGTAAACCTGGTTGAGAAGGACGGTCGTAACAGGTAATTTGAGACTGAACCTTGGTAATGAACTAATCGTGTTATATGAACAAGAAATTTGTGTTTTTTGCCTAAAGCCTTTTTTTTTTGTTCTCCAGTGTATGTTTTATATCTGAACAATTGAAGGGAGCCACCTACTCAAGTAGTGAATTTTGGACACTTAACTCTGCTTACTGACTTATAGAACACAGATTAACAAATTTATCCATTGAATAATGTGATATTATCTTAATGATCATATAAACCAAATTTTAAATAATTAAACATTTGTAGGTATCTAATAAAAGTAAAATGTCCATTAAAATGAAGCTGATTAATAAAATGTCAATTACTTTTTAAATTATATATAACTGTGTAAACTTGGTCAACTTAATGAGTATTTATAATTCAATGGTTAGATTGATGAAATTCAGTGTCCATTTAAAGTTATTAAGTACAGTGAGTTTAATATACTTACGCTTGGAGTAAGTGGATCCTCATCTATAGACATGGGAGCTTTTTGGTTTCAAGAAGTGTTTCATCATAGTGCACAGCTATTTGTATTGACAAGCTCAACACTTTTTTTTTTATTAATTAAACAATTTAAAATTATTCACTTCTTGATTCATTTTATTTGTTTTATGTGTATTTATTAAGGAAACAAAATAAAATGTCTTGTCACTAACTGTAACTTCATATTGTTTTTGGGATTATATACAATTGACAACATGCTAAGGAGAAACCAAACACCAAGGAATGTTTTGGCATTATAATATAATGTACATCTCATTAATATTGCAGTTTTTTAAGCCATTCAAGCTTGTTACTTGTTTTTATACAGATCAAGGCTTGCAGCAGCCAGTGTTCTGCTACCTTCCTCAGATGGCTTCGTCCAGGAGGTTCGGAGGGATGTCATTCAATTATTATGCTCTATTTTCTTGGCTAACCAGGGTGAAAGTGAGGGAGCTGGGGAAGATAAACATTCGCTACTGGTGGGTAGAATGTTCTAATTTTTTTATTTTTCCTTAGAATTCTTGTGGCACAATTGTTATGTTTATATACATTTTTATTCCTTATCTATTGATGTGCAAGTGGGAAGCTTGGAATAGCATGGAGTACTAGAGTTATTGTTTTGATTGGGAAGTTATTGATATTATATCTTTTAAGGAATAAGGATATGTTTGGGAGAAGGCTTTTGTAGGGGAAGAGAGGGGAGGATATATTTGTTAATTTCAAATTAAGAAAATTATATATTATCTATGATGATAAATCCATGATTAATATATTAATTTTACATTAATATATTAATTTATATATTTTATTTTGAAAAACATTTAAATATATTTATTTTAAATATTCCCTTCCCTTCCCAAACCACCCCTAAGTGGAAAATCTATAACTAGTCTTCCCAACTTGTTTACTATATCTGATGGTTCATCATTATCAGCTGATGAAAGCTGTTTTTGTTTACTACACCTGAAATAGTTGAGAAAGATAACAAGAACCAGTTAATTCAAATGAACAAGAAGAAAGGGGTAAGAAAAAAATTGAAGTTGGAATCACGATTGACTTGGTTGCATTCTGACATGGATAATTCAATTGGATGCTTATGGAAAACAACTGGGAATTGGCTTCAAACATCAAAGATACCAAAATGTTCTTGTAGATCTCATGTGATGTGTAGCCATTGTACTTGTTTGGTTATTTATCGATAATAGAAGCACAAAAATAAAAGTAGGTGTGACTCACGACTTGTAATGTAGATGTGGAAATATTTGAAATTTGATTGCCCTTGAAAATTCTTATATTTCATCATGCAGAATGATGAGGCAGCTGTTCTACAAGGTGAAAAAGAAGCTGAGAAAATGATTGTGGAAGCTTATTCTGCACTGCTTCTAGCATTTCTTTCCACTGAAAGGTTTATTTCTTATCAATTTTCTATTCTTTTTGTTTGATTTCGTTTTGTTGCATATCTTAAGGCCTATAATTTACTTTTTTGTTCTACAGCAAGAGCATTCGCACAGCAATTGCTGACAATCTTCCAGATCACAACTTAGCAAGTCTTGTACCTGTGCTGGAAAGATTTGTGGTATGTAGCTGTTGTTAATTGTTAATACCATCATGGGGATGGAATTGTGAAACTAACCAGACATATTGTTAGTTAGACCCTAAATTTGTTTGGGAAGGATGATTGGAGTTTGGGTTTAGTTTCTAATGGTTAATCTGACTGCTGCAACAACTTACATGTTTAGCTTGTCTTTGGGTGTAAATTACTACATAGTCTTCGAAAGTGTAGTTTGATGCTGCTCCAAAACAAATCTAGTCAAAGTTTTCTCGCTAACATATTTCTAGGTTTGAACTGCCCAACATATAGGGAATCATCTGAAATATTTAAGGAGTCACAGTATAGGTGTGTTTTAGTTCTTGGTGGATAATGGGATTTAAAAATGGAGATGACCATCATATTGGATGCCTGGGGCCTCACCCTTTCTTTTTTGCATTTAAAAATTTTGTTCACACCTTTGGGTAGCATTTCTTAGCTCATAATTGTGTTATTATCCGCAGGAATTTCATCTGTCTTTAAACATGATTTCACCGGAGACTCATAAAGCTGTTAGTGAGGTCATTGAATCATGTAGAATTCGATGAAAGCTCAAAAGGAAACTCTGTACAGCCACAGCTTAAATTAGGGTTTGTTGTTATTCTGGAGGAATGAGACTCACTTCATTACACCGAGTCTGACCAACTTTTATTCTGTTCTCAGCGCTTATACCCTTATTTTTATATCACCATGCTGGTGATGCTGAGTTGCTTGTATACAAAAATCAATAGTGGAATACGTTCCTAGCATAGTTTGTGTGTAATCAATAGTGGTAATTTTTTTCCCAATATTTTTGTTTATTCATTCATTTTCTTGTATCAGAAGCTTATATCTTTTGTTTGAAGCGCCCATGTCCTTTTGTTTCTCCATCTTTTCAGCAACTTGATACCAGCTAAAGCTGGATTAGCCTTATATTTAATTTTAATACTAGTGGAGATTTGTGATTTAATCATACCTCATTCGGAATCAAGATTCATCGAATCCGTAAGCTGCAATTGTATTCCTGTTTTGGAATGGTAAGTTAGAGAACGGAAGAAGATATAAAACTTAAATGAAATCACAGGCGTTCAAATTTCGTTTTCGCCTGTCTTTATCAATAAGTACATTTTGGGTAAAATGTAAATAAAGTACGAACTATTATTTTCATATATATATATATATATATATATATATCACGCCCATAACCTCGAAGATTTCCTCTTCTAGGTGAGCTTCATCAACTTGGTTTGTCCCTTAATGTTGCTTCATTTCAGGAAGGTGTCAGTGCCACTGGTTTCATTCTGCTCACGCAAGCGAGGTAATGAAAACTCATGACATGCAATTAATTTGGATTATCTTCTCAGTAAGTATTTATGTGTTTCTATAGAAATTACAAAATAAAAATAAAAATGTGAATCTCACTCTTAATTAGTCTTATTTTCATGTTTTGTTGTTTGGTCAATGGTAGCTATTAAGTGTCTTGTAATTGTTAAAGCACGCAAGCGAATGATTGGGTAATTGCAAGAGGCCCTTCATCTTGAGACCAACCTTCAGAGTTTAAAACGAAAAAGGTTACTCAACAGTTCAAGAGATTTTACAGGACATGATTTCGAGCCGTTTACACTTGAAGCAGGATGAAGGGGTTGCCCTGAAGTAATTTTTGCCTCTGTAATTGGGGTGGTAATATGGCTTAACGCGCGATTACATGAATTGTTCATCCAATTTGGCGTGGTTATATCAACTACTAATGTTGGTTGACATTAGTATGTGTTATTAGTTATAGTTGTTAACCTAAATTGTTTTGGATGAATTTTTTAATAAACAAATAAATTTAAGAGTAATTTAAAATTAAATTTTAAATTCTCTTTACAAATTCTTTATAATGTATTGTTCTTAGTGAAATGATTAAATTAACGTCGTAAAACGAGTAAATTAAAAATGGAAAGAATAAAAAAAATGTAGAAGAATAATGAAAGGAAAAGTTAAAATATTAAAGTAAATAATTAGAATTGATATTAAATTGCAATATGTAAATGTACAACTTTTGAATAGTAATTAATACTAAACTTTTGATCTCTTGTCTTCTTGGTCTAACTTGTGTAGAATTTTGGTTATGTAAAGATTTTAAGTATAAGTGTTTTAAGTGTAAAAGTAATAATATCTAAACTATGAAATGAAATACTATTTATAAGTACAATATAATGTAATAGTCTAAAATATAGTTGCTATTTAATATAATTATTTAAAATATCTTTTTATAACTATTATCATGTGTCATATCATATATATTCTTGTTATGCATCTTTAGACACTTCAAATCTTTGAAATAAATCTTCAATTTTTCTTAAATTTTGAAAAGTAAAACACTTCAAAAAATAACTTTGATTCAATTCTTTTGATAAAGTGATATTCTACCAATTCTTAACTTTACCTGTTACAAATGATAATATCTTTTAAAAATCTTCTCAAATCATCCTCTTTTTTTAACTTTAGATATTATTGCATCTTTATAATTTTACAAACTGTTTATGAACTTGTCAAGAACTTCTTAAAATATTTTTTTTGATTAAAAAAATCATATTTATTTGACCATAACTTTTATAGAAATTAATAAAAAATATTTTTTTTATCTTAACTATACTTCATGTTTTTCTTTACTAAAAATTTTATGTTTTTTTCTATCTTTATTTTTATAAAAATTTATTAAAAAATAAGATTCTTTACGACAAGACATTGATATGACAATTGTGTCATAAAAACTTGTCTAAAAATAACATTTTTTAAGGCCATGTTATACAAATTTTAGTTGAAACATATACTTAAAACATAAAAAAAATTTTATAATCTTTCTCACAGTACAGTTTAACAGTACGTATAATATTTTGGTATTAAGAATTACATGAATAATATATACGCTGTCTTGTTAGAAATCAAAGAAAACTTGAATACGTAAACTCTACATACCACTCCTTTTGCCTCTGTCTTAATCAATGTGTAGATGGACTTTTAGCCATCCTTCTAACAAAAAATGTTCAATAAATACAGAGAAACAAGAAATCAAAATATGTGGTTGGTCTTGAATTATTGACGTTTTATCGGTACCACTGTTTTCTTGATAGTTATATTTATATAATATTTATCCCTTTAATGTTAATTATTTTATATATTTTAAAATTTTCTTATGTTTTATATTTTTATAGTATAGTTTGTTACATAAGAAAACTATATAAATATAATTTTATTTATTTTGTATTCACCATTCAAAGAAAAAATTAAATAATAGGAAAAAAATTAAATATTTTTTTAAAAATAAACTTACAAATTAGTCTCTCAAATTGTATTTGTTGTACATATTAATTTTTTATTTATTTAAATTCCTCTACTAGTTCTCACATGGTAAGTTATCATCTTCTGTGGTTGATAAACACTTCAAAATAAAAACTTTTTTTTTATTAAGTAACAAGTAAATGCTAAAAATATGTATTTTGTATCTGTCTCTACCTTACATGCTCATAGTGGTTGGTGCTCCAAAGCTCCCGCTATATTTCTCTCTTTACCCCTCTCTATGGACCTATGCCACGGTAACTCAATCTCTTGGGTGGTGTAAAAGTTCACAAATTGATAAGAACTTGAAAATTTCTTTCATCATCTTCAACTCTTCAATTGCAAATTAAACGCATATATTCAACCCTTCAATTGCAAATTAAGGTTCTTTAGCGTTCAGCTCATATGAAAGATCTTACTGTCTAATAGTTTATTATGTGAGAAACTAACAAAAAAATCTCAAAATCACAAATAAGTAAAAAACTAATATATACTATTATGTAAACAACTAACATGTATGTTTAGTAATTTTTAAAAATAACTTTAAAAGTCTGGTTTTTTTTAATATATTTTTAAAGTATATGCATTGAAAAATAATAAAAATAAATAAATAAAAATAATTATATATAATACTATATATTATGTAATTTTTAATTATTTAAAGAGTAAGATGTTAAAAATACTGATTAAAAAATTGACTTAAAAAAGCACATTAAAAATTATAATAAATATATATTAATAATATTTTTCATAATTTTTTTTGCCTTTTTCCTACATCTACCATTGTTTTTTTGCTTTTCTTTTACTTAATAAATACATTTTTAAAAACTATTTTTTTATTAATATATATATATATATATATATATATTTTGGTTACTGTAGAATTAAGAAAGAATATAAAGAGAGAGATATATTAATGTGCTTGAATTAGATAGATATATGTAGAAACTATTGTATTTATAAAAATATATATGTAATTCTAACTAGTGAAATCTATTATTATAATATTAACATAAACTCTAATCATAATAAGTCTATTATAATTATTCATAATACTCTCTCTCAAGTTGGATTATAGATATTAATCATGTTCAGCTTATTATACATATAATTATTATTGTTTCATTTAAAATTTTTGTAAACACATGCTAGTTAGTTGTTTGTCTTAATACGAAAGATGAATATAAGTTTTTGCTAAATTTTGTTTTGAATAAATGATAATCTATTTCAATATATTTTATCTATAAAAAATTAGATTTGAGATAATATATATCGAATATCAAGCCATAAACATATGTTTCAACCACGTTAAAAAAGAGCAGGGAGAAAAAATTAGTATGCTAAAATTAAATAACTAATTTACAATATGCAAAGATCCTTATACTTGTAAAAATACACGTGACTGAAATGTCATGACTGTTATATCACCCACTGCATCTTCATGGGTGATACTGTTTGTTTAAATTAGTATCGCATTTTGGATAATAACGCGTGTCATGCTACTTCTTGGGTGAGAGGGCTATTCACTTTTGAGACCAGACAAATATCTGTAGATTAGACGTCAAACTTTGTGAAATGTTAACACGTAAAATAAATTTAAACAATATTTTAATTTATGACTTAAAAAATTTAAGATTATAAATTTAAAATATTTAAATTTATAAATTTTAAAATATTTAAAATTATCGAATTAAGTATCATTCTTAAATATGTGATACTAATTTAAAAAAATTAAAACCAAATATTGTCATCCATATAAATTTAGGAAAAGGATCCCCTCATGTTTCACATGATCTTCATATTCAATTTTGAAGTGTAGACAAAATAACTAGGATAATAGTAACAACCCAGTTTTCCTTATTTAAATACTCCAAAGATGAAACATAATCTGCAGACAGAGTTGTTAACAAGTAAAAACATGCATTCATTCCCCATGGTTTTCTTCGACACCTTTCTGCTCTTTCTTTCTCTTATCCTCATCATCAAACGATATTCCAATGCATCAACCACCAAAAACTCACCCCCTTCACCTCCAACGTTACCTCTTATAGGTAACCTTCATCAACTAGGTTTGCTCCCACACCGCACACTCCATTCTTTAGCCCAAAAATATGGCCCTTTAATGCTCCTCCATTTTGGGAAGGTGCCAGCACTTGTGGTATCTTCTGCTGAAGCAGCGCGTGAGGTGATGAAAACTCACGACCTTGTTGTCTCCGATAGGCCACAAAGTAAAGTGTGGAAGATTCTCTTTTATGATACCAAAGACATGGCAAGTGCTTCATATGGGAAGAGTTGGAGGAACTTAAGGAGTTTGAGTGTGTGTCACCTTTTTAGTAGCAAAAAGGTTCAATCTTTTGGTCGTGTGAGAGAGGAGGAAACTTTAAGAATGATGGGACATATTAAGAAGTGTTGTTCTTCTTCCTTGCAGGTGAATTTATCTGAGTTGCTTGGCTTATTGTCGAATGATGTAATATGTAGAGTGGCTCTTGGAAGGAGATACCGTGGAGTAGAAGGGAAGGGGTTTGAAAGGGTTCTTTTGGAGTTTGATGAGTTAGTGGGGACTGTGTCTATAGGGGATTATATGCCTTGGCTTGATTGGTTGAGCAAGGTTAATGGTTTGTATGGTAGGGCAAAGAGGGTGGCCAAATATTTGGACCAATTTTTAGATGAAGTAATTGACGAGCATATCAGTGGTGGGTCTAGGAATAGCAAAGATGGGCTTGAGGCAGAGCGTGATTTTGTGGATGTTTTGCTTTCCCTCGAAAAGACTGATACTGAAGGCTTCCCTGTCGATAGAAATGTAATAAAGGGTTTGATAGTGGTAAGTAAAAAAAATAAAGGATCAATTAAATAATTAGTTACTAAAAATATTATTATTTTAGTTTATTTTTATAAGAAAATTATTCGATATATATATATATATATATATATATATATGTATGTATGTAACTCATTCTTAATGTTGAATTTAAGTTGTTATTAATAATACAATTTTGTTTTAAAAAATAAGTTTTTAATAAAATTTTTAAATTTTTAAATCCAAATCTAAGAACTAGGCTTATAAAATTCATAATCGTTATATTTTATTAAAAATAAAATATGTATTATACTCTTATGATTTTAATATAATAAAAATATTTTTTTAATAAAAATTTACCTCTTTGTAAGGCTGACTCATATTTATATTATGTCATATTAGTGCATATTTAATGACTTTTTTCTATTGTGTTTTGTTAATCTTTACACTTAATGTTAATTTCAAGTATTTATTATATTTTTGAAATAGTTAATGTATTTTTTCAATAAAAGTATTACTTTTAATTACTTAATCTCAGCTTAAAATAATATTGTTTTAAATACATGTCATGTCATTATTATGTAAAATAGGGAGTGCAGAAAACAATTAATATTTGTCAAAAATTAAATCGATTTTAAAAAATTCTTAGCAAACTAAAATTAAATTTAGTTGTTTGTAAGGATCAAATATGCGTTTAAGTATTATTTTATTTTTTGTCCAGGACATGTTTGTTGCAGGTACTGAGACTACTCATGCAACAATGGAGTGGGCAATGACAGAACTATTGAAGCATCCAATTGTGATGCATAAATTGCAAAACGAGGTGAGAAGTGTGGTTGGTAACAAGACTCACGTAACTGAGGATGATTTGGGTCAGATGAAGTACTTGAAGGCTGTGATTAAGGAAACGTTTCGCCATCATCCCTCAGTTCCTGTAATTCCTCGAAAATCTTCTGAAGATATCAAAGTGAACGGCTATGACATTGCTGCTGGCACACAGGTATTAGTGAATGTTTGGGCAATTGGAAGAGACCCTTCTTCATGGTACCAACCTCTAGAGTTTAATCCAGAGAGATTCCTTAACAATTCAATTGATTTCAAAGGACATGATTTTGAGTTAATCCCTTTTGGAGCTGGAAGGAGGGGTTGCCCTGGAATGCTATTTGCCATTGCTACTATTGAGATGGTAATAGCAAACCTTGTCCACCAATTTGATTGGGCACTGCCTTGTGGGGAGGACTTGAATATGTCTGAAAATCCTGGCATGGCTATTCTTAGAAAATTTCCACTCATGGCCGTAGCAACTCTACATGATAGAAATTAATATATTTGACTAGAAAAAGGAACTAATGATGATGTAAGGAATAAAGTTGTGTCACATGCATGTTATGTGATTCATGACTCTTGTAACTGCGTTGTAGTTAATTTTAGGTTAGTATTGTGGTATGAAGATTGCTGTAATTCCAATATAAGTTGTGATTAATGTATAATGACTAGAAAAAAAAAGTTATGATAAAAGGAATAAAGTTGTGTCACATATATATTGTGCGACAGACACATCATGCTCTCTTACATTAATGGATACAATTGTATTGTAGTTAATTTTAGGTCAGTATTGTGGTTGGAGGTTGCTATATAATTCCAATATAGACAACTCTCCTATATGGTAAAATACCACCCAACATACCCTCCTAAATGGCTGGCACTTCATCCTCCATTGAAGCTATTGACACACTCCTTGGGAGGATTGGACTGAGTTGAAGGCTATATACCACCTTGAGGACAAGGTGCTACTAGAAAGAGGGAATGATGCCAACCCAAGTCCGATGATCATGGTCCAAATACAATTGCTTCCGAAACTATTACTAAGTGTGTGCATGGTTTGTGATATACAGTCATGGAGAGGAAGGAAAGGGAGTCAAATATTATTCTATAAGATTTTGATTTCCTTCTCAATTTCTGGAGGTTCTTTCTAACCTCGAATCTAAGAAAGATTCATTTTATTTCAACGTTCCTATGAGTTACATTAGTGCTTTAATGAATATCAAATTGAGATAAATATTCAGTAGAAGAAATTTATCATCGATAATAATGTTATTAGATTCGATCACGAAGTAAATGGCAAGTATAATGTAGAACGATTTCTCAATTCTTACACAAAAACTGAACGTAACAAGAACTGGAAGCGCTGCCGATGAATGAGTAACATTGTGAGAACCTAAGCGAGAGAGATAAAGAACGAGCGTTTTCTCTTCGAGTCCCTCTCACTATCTCAATTGTTTTTTCTCCTCCACATCTTGCTGCTGCCAGCTATTACCGTTCCATCGCTTGTCTTTAATTTCATTTTGGCAAACATTTCGTTTTCACAACAGCCAACTGATTATGATGGGTGATCCACCACCCCAAAAATTTAAAGCCAAAGCCTCTTATTTATATATATATATATACATAGAAAAAAAATTTTCTTACACCCATAAGTTTAAAAATTTTGTTTAAAAATTTTTATATCAAATTTCAACTTTTCATTTAACTTAAATCTAATAAATTATAACCCTCAGATATAAATCAAATGAAAAATTTAAATTTAGTGTAAGAATTTTTAAATTTACACTAGTGTAAGAAAATTTTACCTCATATATATATATATATATATATATATATATATAAATCTGCAAACAACACTTACTTACTATTATGAAAAATGAAAACGTTTAATTAGATTAAATATAATTATTAACTAAGCTCATGTAGCTACGCTCTATCACCCACGACGTTGTAATAATTAATTTGAATGGTTAAATTTAATAGATAAATGTTCTCAATATATATATATATATAACATGTATTAAATATTTGTTTATTAATTAAAAAACTTGTTATTATTTATCAAAATGTTGACAAGTATTTTTAGGACACAGTTTAAATTGATGCAAAAATATCACCAACCCACCTTATTGTAATTTTCAATGCAACGTAGACATAATTTTCAATAAAAAGTTTATTATTTATTAGTTATTTAGCATGACTCAATTTATTAGAAAACTAAGCCGCATATTTTAAGTTCCCTGCACAAGAAATACATCTAACAATAGTTTTTCCGGCAAGGTTCAATAATTTCTGCTTCAGCTATCAAAGATTTGGTACCATTTTTGGCTAAACTTCCCACACTTCATAATTAATCCACATACCACTATTCATGAGTCATGACCATATATCCACATGAAAGTCTAATATCAAGTGTGCTTGGCGAGGAAGTCAAGGATAAGCTGGTTCACCTCTGCGGGAAACTGTTCTTGAACAAAATGGGTTCCCTCAGGAATGAATGTAACCTCCAAATTGGGAACAAACTCTTTTGCTTTTTCACTCTTTATTAAATCCTCAATCCCTGGAAACTTTAGAAAGTAATCCTTGCCACCCATTATCACAAGTGCTGGAACTTTAACGACAGGATCCGGTAAGTTAAACTCTTCACCAAATGACCTACAAACAATCAAAACAAACCCACCATTATCAAGAATTCACCTATAGGTAAGATCCTCGGAAAATCTGGGAGTTCAAAAGACCATACTTTCGTTGCTCTATAGTAAGAAACGGCAATTTCACCGAAAAGGCAACAAAGAAAAAATGCTAGCACCTATATGGAATCTGCAATGCAGTTCGGAACCCAGATTTCTCATACAATGCTCCATATGTGGCAAGATCTTCCTCTGAGAACCAAGCAGGAAGAGGAGTATTTGGTTCCACCAAGTCCATGATCTCCTGGTTCTCTTGGGCTATTGGTATTTCACTTCTTGAGAAGAGAATGTAAACATTTCGCACAACAGTCTTAGCATCAAAGCGTCCAAAATCAGCTTCTGCTCTTCCAGGTTCCTGATATAGATAGCAACAAAGTTACGATGATATTGCAGGTCATTTTGGGTGAGTGCAAATAAATTTAAAATTACCCGCCATCTCAAAATGTAAAAGCCTTCGGGAAGGTATTTGTGATACGCAGAGGGACTAGGTGGAATATATGGAACACCCAAGGTGACAACTCCCAGGACCCTTTCAGGGTGTAGAATGGAAAATAGATGCGCTGGACGAGCTCCAAAATCTTTTGCAACAAGAAACACCTGTGGTATTTTTGGATGTAATAGAAAATGAGTAAAAAAAATGAGTAGAAAAGAGTATGACGAGAAAAAAAAAAGAGAAATGAGATGGAAAAGATGTGTTATTTGGAGAATTTTTTACAGAAAAATTATTAAAAAAATATAAAAAGACACAAATAGATCATCACTGTAAATATTTATCAATCTAAACCTCTTTACTGTAACATTTTTTTTTTTCATTCAGAATTCCATTCGCAGATAACCAAATTCTCAACTGAATTTTTTTCTGTTTTTAAATTTTATTTTATGTTTTTATATAATAAAATAAATATTATTATTTAAATTATATTTATATTTTGTTAAAATAAATATTTATAATATATTATGGTAGTGTATCCGCTTAAAACACTATTTGTTTGCCAGCACTTCTTAACAAAAGAACAAGCACAAAATGTCATAAATAAATTTTACATTGTCAATCATTGTACTTACAAGGTGAAGATGTCAAGTATAATTAGGCTTGTCGTGGAATGCGTTCATAATAACTGTGCCTAGAGATGTCGCGTTATATTGCGCACTAAGGAGCAACACTAAAAAATAATGAAGCTTGAAGGGTGCTACTCATGTGTTTCTTCACTCATTTCACATGATCATAACAAGTTGGGATCACGAATGATTTCTCAAACCATTCATAAAATTATTGAGACTGACCTATTGGAACCATTTTAGCCCACATAAAGTCCACAATGGGTTATACAATCAGCTATAAAAAAGGGATGGTTGAAAAAATAACTTGCCATTAAAAATATCTTCAAAAATTGGGAGGAGTCATACCATAAGTTATTTAGACAGTTGCTTGCAATGCAACTATATGTTCCGGGCTTCATTTGAAAATTGAGTATACAAGCGACATACATTGGTGGCTTGGTTGACGAGGAGAATGTGTTCTTCAAAAGGTTGTTTTGGACCTTCAAGCCATGCATTGATGGTTTTACCTTCTACAAACTAATTGTTCAAGTGGATGAAACATTTTTGTATGACAAATAGAAAGAGACTTTATTAGCGTAAGATGGCCGCAACAACATATTTTCTATTGCCTTTGCTGTGGTTGAAGGTGAAACCAACAATGCATGATTTTTTTTTTCTTTTTTTTTTTAGAAACTTAAAGAGGTGCAAGAGGGATTGTGCCTCATTTCAGATCGTCACGAGGTCATAAGAAGTGCATATTTAAGAAATTGAAGTGGTTGAACAGAAAATAATTTTGTCCATGTCTATCGCATTAGACACATTGCACAAAATTTTATGCGACGATTCAAAAATGCATTGAAAAAAGATGTCGTCAATATGAGTAGTTTTAATTTTTTATGTACTCTATATTATCATTAATATTTTATATAATTGCTTAGTTAATTATATTAATTTAATTTGTAATTTTTTTTTTAGTATATAGAGTGAATGAACCGAAATTCTTTTATTATTACAACATAGTAAAAGATAATAATCCTGAAGCTGCACAATGGTTGGATAACATCCCAAGGTAAAAATGGACACTAACATAGCACAACGGATGGACGGCGTTGGAGACACATGACAATAAACCTAGCAGAGTCAATCAATTCGGTCTTGAAGAAAATCAGAAACTTGCCAATTTGCTCCATGGTCATGGTAACATACACTTGTTGTAATAAGTTCTTCATTGAGAAAGACAGAGAAGTAGATACAATGATTAATACTGGACATATGTACTTGGAGATTGCAACTAAAATAATTCAAGATGCATAGTCAAAGACGAACACTCATAGAGTCATCACTTTTGACAGAACAAGCATTAGATTTACAGTAACATACACTTGTTGCAATAAGTTCTTCATTGAGAGAGGCAGAAAAATAGATGCAATGATTAATGCTAGATATATGTACTTGAAAATTGCAACTAAAACAATTCAAGATGTACAGTCAAAGGCGAACACTCATAGAGTCATCACCTTTGACAGAACAAGTACTAGATTTACAATCGAAGAAACGCAACATCTGACAAAAATTTGAACCGTAGAAAGATTTACAGTACAATTAGATGGAATGTGGTGTGATTGTGACAAGTTTCAAAAAGTTCACATTTCATGCTTGCATGTACTTGCTTCATGCTTACACACACTACAACTTTAACGTGTACATATCTCCCGTGTATACCTTACAACAAGTTTCTAAGGTATACGAAAATCAATTTAGAGAACTCAGACACGAAGACTATTGGCCAATTTACACAGGCCCAACTTTATGTCCAAATTCAGAACTGAAAAGAATTTCAAAGGGTCAACCCAAGTCCAGTAGGATAAGAACAGAAATTAACATTAGAAAACAACAAAGTCGAGCAAAAAATTATTCTTATTGTCACACCCTTGGTCACACAAGGAAGACATGTTAAAACATCACTTAAGCTTCTAGTTCTCGCCATTGATTTATGTTGTTATTACTTTAAAATTTTCTTAATGTCATTTTTAATTTTATGAATGTCATTGTAACTTATAAATTTTTAGTATTTATAATTTATATTAAATATATATATATATATATATATATATATATATACATAATATTATTTAATAATATTTATTAATATTAATAACATATTTTTTAAAATAAATAATTATGTATAAATTTTAATAAAGATTAATATCTCAACATAAATAAATAAACTTATTATTATTTATACTTTTATTTATTTTATAAATATATAAAATTAAATAAATTATTATTATAATTTTTATTTTTTTAAAATATAATATTAAATAACAAAAAATATAATTTTAGAATATAATATTAATATCATTTTAAAAAATTAAAATTATATTAAATAATATAATAAGAAAATAAAAATATAATTTATTATTTTAAATATGTAAAATAAATATTATTAATATTTTTATTCATTTTCACATAATATAAAAATATATACATAATTTAAATAACAAAACTTATTTTATAATATATAATTAACAAAATATTATAAATATTTATTTTAACAAAATATAAATATATAAACATAATTTAAATAATAATATTTATTTTATTATATAAAAACATAAAACAAAATTTTAAAAAAAAAACACAATCCAAAATTCAGTTCCTAAAGAGGTTTATATTAGTAAATATTTATAGTGACGGCCTATTTGTGTATTTTTATATTTTGTAATAATTTTTTTATAAAAAATTATTATTTCGTGCGAATATATATAATTGAACAATAACTAATATATATATATATATATATATATATATATATATTTTAGTTATTGTTCAATTGCATAAGACTAACCATCCAAACACATGCAAATTTTCTTTTAACACTTTTCCATCCCTGCATAATCTTTTCCCCTCAAACAAACAAAGCACTCATGTACATTGAGGAGGGGAATCAATTAGGCAATTGTTTGGGATAAGAAAAATTTTCTAAGTTAAAAATCATCTTGAAAGAAACTACATTTCAACAAGTTTTGAGGGTCAAGAAAGAGTCAAAAAATAAGCCTAAACATAAGAGAATATTGAAAGATCATCCAAGACCTTTAGTTTTATTAAAAGGGACACATTTCAAGTTATTTTAGGAGATTTTTGTCACATTGTTAATTTTTTTCTAAACTGCTTGAAAGACAAGAAAATATTCTAAGACCACAAAACTAAAGGCTTTTTTCCGAGGAGTTTTGAAGTCACTGACACCCAAAACTACTCGAAAAATAGAACTGATAAGAAAATATTCTAAGTTCATAAAATTGATGGCTTTTCGAGGAATTTTTGAGGAGTTTTCAAGTTCCTGACACCCAAAAATGCTTGAAAAACAAGACTAATAAGAAAATATTCTAAGTCCACAAAAACTGATGACTTTTCAAAGAGTTTTTGAGGAGTTTTCAAGTCCCTGACACCCAAAACTGCTCGAAAAATAGGAAGTGGTCAGAAAATATTTAAAAGTCCACAAACCTAGCTGAGCTCCAGATTTTCTCCAGAATTGCTCGAAAAAGTGGAAGTGGTCAGAAAATATTCTAAGTCCACAAACCTGGTTGAGCTCTAGAGTCCCTCCAGAATTGCTCGAAAACAGAAATGAGCAAAGAAAATGTTCTAAGTCCATAAGACCAAGACAGACTCTCAAAACTCCAGAATGGCTCGAAAAGAGAGTCAAGAATAAATTATTCTAAGGCCATAACATTAAAGGAGCATCTTAGGTTTCTCCCAGAAATACTCGAAAAATAGAAAAAATACGAGTCTTGATAGGTCAAGTCATTGAAAAAATCCAAAAGCAATTACCAGCAGTTATCAACATTCACCACTACGCAAAGGAGATCGTAAGCGATAGCGGTTACGAAAGAAGCCTCAACCAACAACACGATCACAAGCAATTGTGGATAATGAGCATCAACAGTTGAAGGTAGTTACTAAGAAGTGCCTGCAAAAAGAGGAGGACGGTGGTGGTCTTCATGTCTATAAATACTCCAAAACACCATTATACAAAGGACGACTTTTTGCACTTTGACACCGCACCTAAACTCTCTGAGACGCTGGAACCCTGCACCGCGCCAGACACCAGCTACAAGGAGACATTACGGTTGTTATTGTTCATTGCTAGGAGTCGTACGTTTACATTCACGCACCTTTACATTCTCGCATTTACATTTTCGTATTTTAATTCCAGCTTGCTGCTTATTTCAATTATTGCAATTCATTTCCTATTTAAAACTTTTCTGTAAAGAACATTTACATTTGATTCAATTCTGCCCATTTATTATTCACTATTCTTGCTTAATACTTTTTTACGCGTTCATTTCACCATTACGTTAACAACATATTTAAAAGAACTCAAAGAGGACCTAAATCTAGTCTCCAAATTGATCTTTGGATTATTTGTTTACAAATTGTCATTTTTTACCGTAAACAGTAATAGATTAAGCATATGATTTGATCAAATCAATCACAACTTAAATGTGGCCATCCCTTTATATGCTCAAAGATTCCTTTTATGATGACTGAGATTGCAACACAATGAATCCATCGACATCAATCACATTTGAAATTGTGAATCGTGAATTTGGACCACAAACAACATAAAAATTAACAGCTAAGAGATGCGCAACACTTAGAAGTTTTTACCTTCAGAAAACTGAAAGGCACTTGAACACACAAAACATAGCAGAGCATAACAATTGAGAGAAAATAACGACGAGAAGCGAGATCATGCAACACATACCTTGGAAAGAGCAAGAGAATCGAGAATTGCAAGAAGGTCACGGAGAAGATCCGAGAAGGAAGCCTTATCGGGTTGGAGTGGCGGATCGGAAAGACCGTAGCCTCGGTAATCGGGCGCAATAGCTCTGAATCCGGCATCGGCGAGGGCTATCATCTGGTGCCGCCAGGTGTACCATATCTCTGGGAAACCGTGGAGGAATACGACGACGTTTGGACCTGAAAAGAAAAGTGTTTGACTAACTTGGCTGGATTTACAGACATGAATGGATTGAACAGAAGTGTAGAGTGGATACTCACCGTTTCCAACCTCTGCTATGTGAAGCTTGAGATCGTCAATGGTGACGAACTTGTGCTGAATTTGATCCATTAATTAAAGCGAGACTCTTCTCCGTCTCAGGTAGAGTGACTGAACACTGTACTTGTAACCACTGTCTTAGATTCCTTGAAAATATGGACTTGCACTGTGTGACCAAGCAGAAATGTTTTTGTTTATTTATATACAAATTTAATATATTATTAATTATTATTTTTTAGAAGTACGTTTTGTTATATAAAGAGATAAATCGAGAGAGATAATATAATATAATAAAGTAAATGAGAAATTTGAAACATTTAATACATTGTAAATGCTTTTATTTGTTTTTGGTACAGTAAATACATTTTATTTGTTTTCAATATTATTATTATTATTGCAACTGCGTAACAATATTTAAAATGCAACTATTCAGATTCTTTCTATAATTTTTTTTTTGGGGTTGGGGGGATAGAAATATAATTGGACTTATTAAGCAAAAATTAAAATATCAATATTTTAAAGATATTTAATCATTTTTAAATAATTACATTTGACCAAAAACTTATATTTTATAAGATGATTATTTATCACAAATTTATTATATTAATGAATATCTTGTGCGTCTATATCAATAAATAAAATCCATTATATTATTAAATATAATATATAATAAACTAAATAACTAAATTGAATATTATATTCATTAAATATAATATAATAATAATAATAATAATACTAATTTATTGCAAACTATTATTTAATATTTTATGTATATATGTATTGAAATTTATAAATATAGTTAATTTATTGTTATTAATATTTATAAAAAATATAAAAATAACTAAAAAATAAAAAAGACCGTTAATCATCCTTAATTTATAATAATAATAATAATAATAATAATAATAATAATAATAATAATAATAATACCAATAATTGAAATTTATATAAAAATAATTTAAAAAAAATGAGAATTGACAATTAAAAAAAAGGGTTATCCTTAATTAGAATTAGCAGAATTATATTGATTCTGCTTAACTCATAATTATTAAAATTCATGAAAAATAAATAATAAGAGTTATTATATTCAATTTAAAATTATTCATATTTATCAAAAGTAACAAAATACCGAGAGTTGATTATATTTGATTAATAATAATTATTAAATTTTAATAAAAAAATATATAAACTAAAAAAATATAATTAATATAATAAAAATAAATGAAATACACATAAATAAACAAACATTTTTCTTATGTATAAGATTAAATTAATTCATGATCATTATTATATAAATAAAATTAACTATGCTAGTAAAATAATGTAAAATTGAACATTCTATTTATTAAATAGAATATACAATAATCTTAGATAATATAATTAAAAACTATATTAATTAAATATAATATGTTTATAATATTATTAAGTGCAAATTACTATTTAATCTGATATTAAAATTTATAATTATTTTTAATTAATATTTATTAAAATTTATAAAATACAGTTAAAAAATAATAAGATTTGATTATATTTGATTCATAATGATTATTAAATTTTATAGAAAAACCAAATAAAGTAAAAAATATAATTAATATGATAAAATTAAATGAAATGCACTTAAAATAGACAAAAAAATATTCTTATGCATTATTCATATGTAAAATTAAATTAAAAATTATGATTAATTCATAGTTATTAACATTCATAGAAAGTAATTAAAAAAATATTAGACTTGATTATAAAAAACCAAGTAAAAAGAAAAAAAATAACGAGAGGTGATTAAAATTAATTCATAATAGTTATTGAAATTTAAAATAATTAAAAAATAATGCTTTTACTTTTTCTAATTTACTTAAATGACAAGCGTATTTATGAATTTCTTTCCTTAAAAATCCTAATTAATAATTATTTACACCAAAAGGAGAAATCAGAAAATGACAACGGGAAACAGCACAATGACTCTCCACTCTACAGGGTATATGAACTTGATCGATCACAACGAAAAAGGTAATGATAGTGTAGACCGGATTCTCATTTCTCAAACTTAAACTGAACTTTGCAAGAATTGGAAGTGGTGAGTGAATGAGACAGAGCTAGTTTGTCTTCTCTCTCTCACATTCTTTCTCAGTCGTTTCTTCTTCTTCTTCTGGCACTGCTGCTGCTAGGTAGTACCATTCCTTCATTTGCTTTGAATTTCATTACTGCAACCATTTCATTTCGGTGCATGCAAAAGCTTCGGGATTGCGATGGGTGATACGTCATCACAAAAGCATAGAATTTTGATGGTCTCTGATTTTTTCTATCCCAACTTTGGTGGTGTCGAGAACCACGTTTATTACCTCTCCCAATGCTTGCTCAACTTAGGCCACAAGGTTAGCGCCACAAATATTTTCTCATTCACTTGTTGAGAATCATAGTCATAGACATTGCTTTTAAATCTTAACTTCTTATTCTTTGGGTGGTTTTAATAGTAGATTTATGTAGTAAATGCAAACTACAGGAAAAGGAGAATGTGCTGTGGTAATTTTTATTTATTTATTTATTGAAATGTGGAAATTTCACTATTCAGGTGGTGGTGTTAACTCATGCTTATGGAAATCGCTCTGGGGTTAGATATATGACTGGTGGTTTAAAAGTCTACTATGTTCCTTGGAGACCGTTCTTTAATCAGAGTACATTTCCGACTTTATATGGGGTGCTGCCAATTATAAGAACAATTCTTATTCGAGAAAGAATTACTATAGTGCACGGACATCAAACATTCTCAACACTTTGTCATGATGCTCTTATGCATGCGAGGATCATGGGATACAAGGTTGTGTTTACAGATCATTCGCTGCATGGTTTTGGTGATGCTGGAAGCATTCACATGAACAAGGTGTTGCAGTTTACCTTGGCTGATGTGAGTCAAGCAATTTGTGTTTCCCATACAAGCAAGGAAAACACAGTCTTGAGGTCAGGTTTGGCGCCAGAGAAGGTTTTCGTGATACCTAATGCTGTTGACACTGCTGTGTTCAAGCCGGCATTGGAGTGGCCTGGCGGGTTTGAAATTGTTATTGTCGTTATTAGTCGATTGGTTTATCGGAAAGGAGCAGACTTGCTTGTTGAAGTCATTCCAGAAGTATGCCGGTTACATCCTAATGTGAGTTGTTGAAATTTAAAAGCACTCTTAGTTTATGAAATTTTAGGCAAAATTTATGTCTAACATGCTGTCCAGGTTCCTCAGGGAATGATAGTCCTTCCTGTTGTGGTGCTTCTTGACAACAGAAGTTAAAAAATTTGTGTTTGGTAAAAAATTTTCAGTGGTGCTTCTTCTCTTGCTCTGTTTTATATTTGCTTTTGAGAAACACCTAAAGGCTGTTTTCCAAAGATGCACTTATGCACTTATTGTTAAGTACATGAAATGCATAGAGAGTCCTACGTTTTCTGGAGTTCTAACTTCACCATTTACTAATTGATTGCTGTATCTATTAGTAATTTTGGATACTTACAGTTTTACAGTAAGTTATATGGTGAGTTTATTGTATATTTATGCCAAAAATAATACCTTTCAGTATATTCTTACAATCATTGATGTTAATGTCTCCCAATTCAAAAATAACCTTAACATCTGTGCATAATTTTTTTAAATCAGATGTTTCATGCATATGTCCGCACTATGATGCGAATTTTTATTTTTTTTTTACCATTGACAGAACCCCCCCCCCCCCCGTTCCCCTCTCTATATTGCATTTACACTAATGATTGCAATGATTTTTGGTCTCTCAGCGTCTTACGCATGTAGTGTCACTATTTTGTTGATTTTCTTATGTAGGAGCCATAGCAAATAATGCGCCAAGAGAAATATATATGGCCAGAATAAATCATATATTTTAGATTTTCTTGCTGTGTACTTTCGAAGGCATCACTTATATATCTATTTGAAGGTTCGATTTATTGTTGGAGGTGATGGACCTAAGCGTGTGCGGTTGGAGGAGATGAGAGAAAAGCATTCTCTTCACGAACGTGTTGATTTATTGGGAGCCGTACCGCATGCACAAGTTCGATCTGTTCTAATATCCGGACATATCTTCTTAAACAGGTTCAGCTTCCTCAAAATGCATATCCTTTCTTTAAGTTTTGTGGTAATGAGTTTATAATTCAGTCATAATTTGTAATGGTTGGTCAAATCTTCTACAATAATTTTCATTATTGTTGTTTTTTCACTGCCCAACATTCATTTACTCTAATAGGATATTGCTAGTCTTATATAATCAATTGGAGATCATGGTGTGGTGTAAAAAATAATTTCCATAAACAAGGGGAATAATGAAGACATTTTAGGTGGCTAAAGATTAAATAGTAAATTCACCAACCTAATTTGATGCATATCAACCTTCTAGAATTTCCTTCTGTTCTCATCTATCATACTTCTTTCTCTGTTAGGTTTGAATAACATCTTTAAGCAAAAAAAGGAAAATATTCTGGTTTTGAGGAATTGATTTTATAACTCGTTGGGGGGATTGCAGAGAGCAGTTTAGTACTTTCCCCCTTCATATACAGTTTAGTACTTTTTGGTTATGTACACCTGATTGGCTTACCTAGCATACAGTCAATGTGGAGCCATACCATGACATGAATCTACTTAATCAATCAAGATCTGATCAAAGCTAGGTTATATCACACTTCTAATATTTCTAATTTGAAATTATTGATTTCAACTTACAATATTGGACATGAACTTTATTAGCTGGCACCTGCTATGTTCTCTGGTCTTTAAATTCTTGTTGTGACTTCTGAGTTCTATCCGATATTACTTCTTTTGCATCTGTTGTCCAATCTGAGCTTTGCATTGTTATAGTTCCTTGACAGAAGCTTTTTGCATGGCCATATTAGAGGCTGCTAGTTGTGGATTGTTAACTGTTAGCACACGAGTTGGAGGTGTTCCTGAGGTATGTATCATGTATATTTTATCTGTACCTATTTGGTATTAGTATAAAGGCTTTTATATAGCTTTTTTTGACAAATTTTCTTCTGAACTTCCATTTCTTTCCAATTCCACAATTGTATCCAATGCAACAATTTTGGAATACTATAATCAACGGTTGATATAGATTAACTTCCTTTCTATAGGTTTTACCGGATGACATGATTGTTTTGGCAGAACCTGATCCAGCTGACATGGTGCATGCAATCCAGAAGGCAATATCTATGCTTCCTAAAATTGATCCTCAAGTCATGCACAATCGAGTGAGTTTATAGTTTAAATAACCTTATTCTGTTTTTTACAGTGTGAAAACTAGTTGCTCTATATTTAATTGTTTTCCGTAGATGAGGGAACTCTACAACTGGCATGATGTCGCCAAACGAACTGAAATTGTATACGATCGTGCTATGAAGTGCTCCAATCAAAGTCTATTACATCGTCTTTCACGGTACATACTTTCACAGGTTCAATTTGATTCTAGCGGGAACACACATTTGTGCAAGGAAGTCCACTCTCCGGTTCTGTTTCAATTATGTGGTTATGCCAAATACTTGAACATAAAATTATTTAATCTGCCTGTAACATAAGCTGGTAATAAAGCAATGTATTTTGGGATCTTTATTTGACTAAACTACAACTTTGGCAATTCTTTTGCTGGCATAAGTAGTTCAGGTGTAGAACCAACACCTAATTTAGGAGTAGGAACAAGAATCTGATTATTATTTATAGACTGGTTTATTGGTGTCATCTTAATATCAGAGCATATTTGCCATAATGATTAAGAACTTATAAATATCAGCGGCTTTCCTGATTGTCTCTTTTCTTATAGATACTTATCTTGTGGAGCATGGGCAGGCAAGCTCTTTTGCTTGGTTATGATCTTTAGCTTTTTGTTCTGGCATCTACTGGAACTATGGCAGGTAGGTTGGTGGTCTTGGAAGTGTTACACATTTTCTACTTCTTCGGGTATGGGAGTTGCGTGAACATGTGCATTTCCGTTATTAGCCTGCAGATGATATTGAAGAGGTACCGGATGTCATTTTTTCACGCAACTGTGATGGAGAGATGTTGCAGAAATCCCAACAATGACAGATGAAGAGTGTGATAAATTATTCTGCTGAACCGCGTAGCTTTGTGCTGACAAATCTGAAATGCAGAATATCAGAAGAGTAGTGATGGACTGATGGTATTCCATGAGCTTCATTCAATCCAAATTCCCTGATCCTGAAATGGAGATAATACTGTCATTTTTATTCACACTCGTGTGTGTGTGTGTGTGTGTAATGTACCTGTTAGTAGAGGTCAGAGGCCTGAACTTTACAGGTGAGGTAATCCTGAAAGAAAAACTGCACTCACAACAAACATTCAACATTACCTGAGTACATGAGTCCAGGAAGTTATGGAGGAATAGGACGGGCATACCCTCACAATGTTTTATAAAATCTGTATGATCTTCATCCAAAAAAATAATTTGTTGTAAAGCAAAATATTTACAACAAAATATTAATTAGAACTGCACATAACTAATTCATCCCAACCTTTTTTTTTGAACGGCGGAGGATACTAATCAAAGGTGTTGGATGTTTATTGGTAATAAGGTACAATAACAATAGAATGCAGGAGTGTTCACTAGATTCTCATTCAGTTCCAATCAACGCCAAAAGAAGTTTGAGAACTCCAACGTTGACAAACGTATATCGAATTAGATTCATGATATGACCATGAATGAGAGGTTTTTTCATGTTTGCTTGAACGCTGAACACTGGCCTTGTTTAACTCTAAATTTCATTCTTTTTTTGTTATTCTTGCTTTAGATCTCTGTTTTCTATTTTGTTTGTCCCATGGTTGTTAATCATCATCATCATCATCATGATAAAGATACTCGTTGATTTAACACACGTGAGAGGATGTAAGGAGTGTCGAAATAGGTCATGTCAATTGTCAAATGATGCTTTTCTCGGTTCGTGTTATTGTTCCTGGATTCGTGTTCAATAAACATCAGGTATTCTCAAGCTATTGGAAACTTTTTTATATTCTCAGAGTGAAGGGAGGCAGCGAGCTTAAAATGATAGAAAATTGTGGACGTGAAATGTATTTTTCTATCCATTTTTGAATGGATAAGAATTAAAAGTTAATTACAAGTAAAAATAATAATTCCATATTCTTAAGTTGTTTATCTGTTACTAAGCTAATAGAGTAACTTAACATGTATCTATGTTTTAACATGTAACTATGTTTTTATAATTAAAAGAGTAGTTCATTTTATTATTTTATGATGTATGCATTTTATTTTCAATTATTTTAATTGTCTTTTTTTAAGTTAATCTTAGAGTACGCTTATTTTGACTTACTTTTACAGAAATAATTATTTTTGAAGTATTTTTAAAATATAAATATACATTTTTAAAAATAAGTTAATTTAAGCACACATTTCATTTTAAATTAACTTATGTTGAAATTAATTTTTATTTTAATCAAAAGACGAAATTCTTTAAGATTTTGTTTTAACATGGTACTAATATTTACACAACATATATTGAAAGAATTTAATTATTTTCTTTTAAAAATTAGTTTCACTTTCACACTATAAATGTAACTTTAATTAAATATGTTAAACTGATTTATGTATCCAAGTTTTACTTTAATAAAAAGAAAAGAAAGAGTGGCGGTGCAAATTGGGAAAGATTGTAACAAAATGAGCTACTAGTTCAGTATTTTGGGGAAACTGCGCACGGTCGCCTTGTTTTCTCTACCTGTGTAAGCCTTCTCTTTCTCCCTCTCTTGATAGTTTTTCTTACAATATTAACGATAAGATAGGATTCGAAATATTGTAATCTTCCTTCAAGAATTCAAGTGTCACCGATCAAACCCTAGCTTATTTTCTTTTAATGATTAAGCCCTCAAACATTTTCAAACATGAAGTCAAACCCGTTTAATCACCGTCTTTATCTTTCATACCCATATTGTCGAAGGTCCTTCACTTCCACTGCATCTTCCGTTAACAGTGAGCTTTTAGATCTATCAATGCTTTCATACCAGATCTTGTTGCTCTTGAACACTATTCAAAGAACTTTTATGATTTTCCTTTTTAGAAAGTAATGAAAATAATTTACTGAAATTAGACCCGAGAAAGTACTTTCTTTGCTGATTTTAGTTATGATTTTGGTTGACGTGAGTGTTAATCTTTGTAGGTAATCAGAGTCAAATCTTCCTTGTCCAAATTCTAACTTCTCTATATAGAACACCCACGTGGTTGCACTGAACATTCGTGTGTATTAATAACTGCTGAGATACTTGTCATGCACCCAATTATACGTTTTCTTTATTATATGCTTGTTTTTTTTCCATCTACGTCTGTCTTGTGGGTTAGCATATAGTTTGGTTATGGACATCTTGTGATGTATGCAGGATACTTTTAAGTTGAAGTTGGGATAATTATGGCGGATTTAGAGAATTTGCTTTTGGAAGCTGCGGGAAGAACTGGTGCTGCTGGGAGAAATCGGCATCTCCCACCTTCAAGGAGACGACACGAAGGCGCTTATTCAGATGGTGGGAGTGACTCTAGGGATGATGATTCAGATGATGAGCTTAATTATGGAAACAGAAAGCCCTCTGGATCACAAGTTCCTTTGAAGAAGAGGTTAGATCCAACGGAAAGAGATGATGATTTGGGTTGTCAGGAAGAGGCAGATGATGATGATGGTCATAGCGATCGTGAGGGCGATAGCAGTGATGAATCGAATATTGGGGATGATCTTTATAAGGATGATGATGACAGGCGAAAGCTTTCTGAGATGACTGAACTTCAAAGAGAGATGATCTTGTCAGATAGGGCTACTAAAAAGGATGATAAAAATTTGTTGGGGAAGATAGCATCAAAGCGTGACAAAGGAAAGGCAACAGTACCCAGAAAACAGTCTCCACCAATGTCATCATCACGCATGCGTGCATCAGCCAGATCTGCAGACAGGTCAGCCAAGAATGATGCTTTAAATGAATTGCGTGCAAAACGATTGAAACAGCAAGATCCAGAAGCTCACCGAAGATTGAGAGAGGCATCTAGAAATGCAGGCCCCCGGCATTTTTCTCCACCAAAGCGCAAAGCATTCACGTCAGCAAGTCTTAGTAGTTCAAGTCATAGTGAGAGTGAAAGTAGGTCTCACAGTGATGATGAAGGGTCAACTGGGGATGGAGGAATTGTTGACAGTGATGATGATAGGGCTTTAGGTGGGTCTGAGGGACCATCTTTTCAGGATATAAAGGAAATAACTATTCGCAGGTCAAAACTTGCCAAATGGTTTATGGAGCCTTTCTTTGAGGAGTTAATAGTTGGCTGTTTTGTAAGGGTTGGAATTGGTAGATCAAAATCTGGACCTATCTACCGGCTCTGCATGGTGAAAAATGTTGATGCCTCCGAACCTGATCGACAGTATAAATTAGAGAACAAAACTACGCACAAGTATTTGAATGTTGTTTGGGGAAATGAAAGTTCTGCTGCTAGGTGGCAAATGGCTATGGTTAGTGATTCAGCTCCACTCGAAGAGGAGTTCAAACAGTGGGTTAAGGAAGTAGATCGAAGTGGTGGCCGGATGCCAAGTAAACAAGATGTGTTAGAGAAAAAACAAGCTATACAAAAAGTCATCACATTTGTCTACTCAGCCGCTACTGTGAAGCAGATGTTACAAGAGAAAAAGTCTGCCTCATCAAGGCCGCTGAATATTGCTGCTGAGAAGGATCGGTTGAGGAGGGAACTGGAAATTGCACAGAGTAAGAATGATGAGACAGAAGTGGAGAGGATCAGGACAAGACTGCAAGAATTGGATGCATCTAGACAAGCACAGGAGAAGGATTCCAAGGCATTGAAGCTGGCTGAGATGAATAGGAAAAACAGGTTTGAGAACTTCAAGAATGCTTCTGAATTGAAGCCAGTGAATACAGGTTTGAAAGCAGGGGAGGCAGGTTATGATCCATTTTCAAGGCGATGGACTAGATCAAGGAACTACTATGCTTCAAAACCTGGGGAAAAGGCTGCAGCTGGAAACAGTAGTGTCAATGGCCTAGTGGCTGATGCAGGCGGCAATGGACCAGGAGCTCCAGTGACAGTGGAGGCAGGCATGGTGGCAACTGCTGCTGCCTTGGAAGCTGCTGCTGGTGCTGGGAAGTTAGTGGATACAAGCGCTCCAGTGGATCAAGGGACAGAGTCAAATATGCTGCACAATTTTGAACTCCCTATTTCATTAGCATTACTTCAAAAGTTTGGTGGAGCTCAAGGAGCCCAAGCAGGATTTATGGCAAGAAAACAAAGAATAGAAACAACAGTTGGATTTAGAGTCTTAGAAAATGATGGCAGGAGGCATGCACTGACACTGACAGTTAGTGATTACAAAAGAAGAAGAGGACTTCTTTGAAATTTGTTGATGCTCTTGCAGTAATGCCACTTGAGAGGTAAGTTCACGGTTGTATGAGCAGTAGATTGTTTGAATTGATTGTAATATTATCGTGCCCTTGTGTATCTTTAATTATTTAAAAAGCAGTCACGTTTCCATGCCTTTTTTAATCCTCAAACATTAAGCAATTGATATTTGATAAATGTAAGTGAACAATGTTTATGTGATTTAACCTTGATATTCAATCGGATGGTTGGAAGCTAAAGAGAGAGCATGAAAAATGCAGAGGAATCCGATATTGTGGATTTTTGGTGAAATATTAATACAAAATATCTGTCCTCGTGTCGAGACCTTTATTATCTCGAAGAACTTTTGTTAATTTTTTACTTTCGATTTCCTCTGTGTGTGCCTAGTGTTATCCATGCTCCTTTCTATGCTCTTTAGTTTTCTGGTCTAGAAGGAGGAGCGTTCTCTTGAGATTGTTGCTGTCACAGCAATTGTACCAACCTCATTTTATTGATGATAAACAGATACACATAATTCGTATCGTAATAATGGTGAAATGCAAATTAATATCATCTGAAACCAAAATGTTACTGATGAACTAAAATAGAGAAACATATGGTCGACGCATTCGTGATATGGAGGATATATCAACCTCGTTTGCATTGTTTATCTGCTATGGTAACCAGGGAGAAATCTGTGATAGGAAATGTCATAGTTCTCAACTTGCTATATAAATCGGGCTTTGTGGAGAGTTGATGAGGCAATGAAAGGCTATGCATCCTCCCCTACTAATTTTGTGCATCAAAATGGAAAATGGATGCCGCCAGTGGCCATCATTGAGCTTATTAGTTTGGCTCTGATTTTTTTATTATTTAAGATCATTGAATATATTTAAAAATTAAGAGAGAGAGAGAGAGAGAAGATTGTAAGTAATAATTAGAAGACAAAATGGAAATAGCACTTCGATTGTATCCATTGCTTACTTAAAATTATATAAAAAAAGGAGGATTTAACAGATAGAAAAAGGGTATCTGTAGTTAAAATGACCATTTAGCAACAGGTTTGATAATTCCATATTTATATATATATAAAAACATTATGCCTTCTTTTTGTTATATTAAGTCATTATCACATTTCAAATCCGAGTTCACTTCAATAATATCCGCCGTATGTCAGCTACTGGAGTTCTTCTAACACTTGATTTAATAAACACATTGTGTACCGCCTGAGTTGTCAAATTTGTGTGAGAGAACCATTCTCTTTGAACTATGTGTGAAAATTAAATAGCTACTGGTATTATGCTACGAAAACCGTCTTCAGATAAAGAGAATGGTTCCTTTGCTCTCATTGCTGCTTGAAGGCAAGTCAGGTAAAGAAAATCCCCCTTGAATTCCTTTTTATTCTCTTCTCCCTATATATATATATATATATATATATCTGATATCTGACATCTTGGTGGGGGTAACAATCTTACTTCCGAAAGGAATTTACACCATTACTTTGTCTTTTACTCTTTTTTTTTTCTTTCCTTTTCATTCGTAAAATCAGTTATATAGATTCTTCCCGGAATAAGAAATTTCTTTTGGATTAAATTTATGTGATAAAAGATTAAAATATTATTTATATTTGTTAGACAAACTTCGAAAAATTAGCTTATTATTATTTTTACTATTTTATAAAATAAACATTTTACTCAAGATAAGTTAAATTTTGAAACTTTTGCTTATTTTATAGTTATTTTTTTAATTTTCTATTTTAATCTTAATAATTACTCATTTTAAATACAAAATTAACTATAATATATAACTTTATATCCTCTTTTGTACTCTTTTTATAATAATGCTAAAATATTTTTCAAATGAATAAAGGATCTTATATCAAATGTATATATCAATTGTTATTATATAACTATTTATTATATAACTATTTATTATATTTTTTAATCAAGTAAAACAGGTAATCTGATCCTTTTACATTAACTTAAATTTTGGCTTAGCTTATTTTTTTTTCATAACTTTACACCATTTGTTATTTAATTTACTACATAATGTTAAAAAAAAAGATTATTTAATTATCATTGGATTAACCTCTGTTTAATTACAATTGAACCGTTAAACTTTTAATCAGTTCCTTCATCAATTCAATCACCATTCTGATTCCAAAAAAAATATTTTATATAGAATCTGCAAGAGAGAAAGAATAAGCAAGTTAAAACCTCTTGGAGGGATAAAAGTGCTCTAATATACAAATGAACAATTTATGTTAACTATTTCATTGTTACATTATGAAATAATCGAGTATTGCTAGGTTTTTTTGCTGGGGATGGATGTGGAAGTCTTTGTTAGGACCTTTTTTTTTTCCCATAAAAAGAAAACTTGATTTGGAGGAGCATGATGACAGCACAAACTCAAGGATTAAAGCTGTTATGATTGCGGATATTACAGATATAGAAGAAAAGATGGCGGTGGAAGATTCAAATATTTTAGTGGAAAATAAGAAACTAGCAATGTCTTCCAAAGAAACTAGCTAATTGTTACCGAACGAAAGAGAACCCAAAGTTTTGATGGAAGTAGCAATTGTACTCAACAAGTTTGCTTGTACTGATAAACTATCTTCATGAGACGCATTGCAACAAACATTATAGAAGAAGGTGGTGCAAAGCATTTAATTCACCTAGTGTACTTGGAGAGCAAATGATGCAAATCCCTCTATGACTCTTCTGTGTCACTTGGCACTAAACGTGCCCAAGAACAAGATCCTTGTGCAAAAGAAGTTTGTATTGTTCTTGAATAAGGCATGAAGCAAGCTCATCAAGAAAGTGTTAATTGAAACTTCAAAAACTAAAAGGTTGATTTAGAAGGAGGACTTTCAGAAGTCTGAAAATTAAGTGTATTTTTTTTAAAAGAGAAAACTCTTTAAAAATAAAAATAAACGTACTCTAATTTATTAAATTTTATTTAAGAAATTTTAAAAAATAAAAATATATAAAAAAGTGTGAAAAATAATTTTAAAAAGTGCAGAAAGTAATCTCCATTAACATGGAGTTATATATATATATAGGTGTGTGTTTTTGTGATTCATGAGGCTACAATTGGGCCCAAAAACTTTAAGTATTAAGTAATAAAGGCCTCTTTCACCCCACCCCTCCCCCCGGCCCAAAAACAAAAGAATAGAACCCTTCTTGTAACTCTGTTCCAGTGAAACTAACTCGGTTAACCCAATTCGTTGATTCGGCCAAAGCCCGCAACGATGGCTGTGGAAACGCTAGCGTATCACAACGGCGTCGTTTCTAACGGAGATCTGGGCGCGAACTCCAATTCCTCCTCCGCCGCCGCTGCCACCAAAAACTCACGGGAGAGCGAGCGGCGTCGCCGTCGCCGGAAACAGAAGAAGAATAACAGCAAGGTCTCTGAGGAATCGGCGCAAGACGGTGACGACGCGAAGGAGAACACTGATCCACAGCAGGTGCTCATCATTTTTGTGGTTCTCTAGCACCGTTTTGGTCTCGTTTGCTTAGCAATCGATAATGACACTATCACTGGAAAGGAGGATAGGATTCAAATTGGAGATTAGATGTTTGCATTTGTTCGTACACTGTTGCATCGAAGTTAGGGTCTGTGAACTTGAACGGAACTCGTCGTTTTGCATGTTAGTGCTTTCGGGTGAAGGAAGTGTGAGTGTGAGGTAGGGAAGCGTCAGAACTGTGTTTGGCGAAAGGGGATTGGAAGGGGAAGAGAGGAGAATGATCTGTGTACCATGGATATTTGCCTTTCTCTTCTAACCAATTTCTTCATACTATTTGACAAATTTGTGTTTACTATTTGGTTCTAGTTGTGCAATGGAACGAAGGTTCGGACTTGGGATTGCAAAACAATATTGAGTTTTATACAAGATTTCTTTGTTTTCGGTGGTGATGAAAATCATATTTTTAAATTATTAGTTTAGGATTTATTCACCCCCTTATTGGAACTGGGTTTTGATCCCTTTGGAAAGATTAGAGTTATGCTTTCTAGTGCAACTCAGCAACTAGAGAGTTTGATTCTTATCCAATACATGTTCATGAAATGGCATCTGCTTATACCTCCATTGAAAACTAGATTTCCTTTTGATTTCAGTTATTAACCATGATCTATTCTTGTAAGTTGTAACTATTTCATTTGAAGTCAGTGTTGAGTGTTCTAGAAATTATGTTGGTGATTATATCAGATCTCAAGACGATCTATATTTCCTTAAATAAACATGTGACTTCTTCCATCATTTTCAAATACAATGTCGTTAATACACAAATTGTTGGTGATGCCCATATAATGTCATTTTTCTCAAATTTTAGGTGGTTGAACAAGTTGAAGTTGAGTATGTACCAGAGAAAACAGAGCTAGGTGAAGGCCTGGATGAAGAATTCAGAAAAATCTTTGAGAAATTTACTTTCAGTGAGGTTACTGGCTCAGAGGTAACGTGCTTGTGTCAATTGATTATTTGTACTTGCCTTTTCATTTACTATCTGATCAATTGTTTACTTGGATACAACCAGGATAATGATAAGAAGGATGAATCTGCAGAAAATGCGGCTACAAATAAGAAAGCAGACTCTGATTCTGAAGAGGAAGAAAATGATAATGAGCAAAAAGAGAAAGGCATTTCAAACAAGAAGAAAAAGGTATAGCAATCTCCATCATATTTATTTAATTTGTTTTCTCAATTTAACTGTTGCATTCCTTTTCATGATTATGCTAAAAGTTTCTTTTTGGGTTCAGCTTCAACGTAGGATGAAAATTGCTGAACTGAAACAGATTTGCTCAAGGCCTGATGTTGTTGAGGTTGGACTATTTTGTGTAGTATACTTAATTTTTAACTTTTTCTCTTTCACTCCTAATTATCTAGGCTAGTCTGATGCCTATTATGCAAATGTCATGTGACAGTATATTTTTCATTTTTAAGGTGTGGGACGCTACTGCAGCAGATCCAAAGTTACTTGTATTCTTGAAATCTTATCGAAATACTGTACCTGTACCTAGGCATTGGTGCCAAAAGAGAAAATTTTTGCAGGTTAGTCAGCATTCTAAATCAATGATTATGGGTTAAAAATGCAAGCATGTACAATGATCGTGGTCAACATGGGAATGTAGGGATAGAGTGAAGAAGATAACATCGATAAGGTTTCTCTTATATGTATGTATGTGGTGCTTGCAGGGGAGCAGTTGTGGCAATCACCGAGCCTGGACTTGTAGGTGTTCGGCAATGAGCATCGTTGAAGCATTTCTCATTTATTTTTGTTAGTTTGCATGAGAATATGGGCTTAATATGATGTTACATGATGGGGGTTTATGATCGTATGGCCTTTCTGTGTAATTCCATCGGCCATTTGTTTATACTAAGTTGCTAATAGTTCTGCTTTGAATTTTCAGATACCTTTCATTGTGCTTAATGCCCGGGCTGAATTCCTCTTGTCTTCAATGTTTTATAATTGATAGTGCTTGGCCACAGAGCTTCATAGTCATATAGTCATCTACACATAAATTACCAACATTTTGTAAAAACTGTTATTGTTTTTGTAGGGGAAAAGAGGTATTGAAAAACAACCCTTTCAGCTTCCTGATTTCATTGCTGCCACAGGAATCGAGAAAATCAGACAGGTAATGCATTCTTATCTGTTTGCATATGTTCTGATTCTTTGTCTGAATGACTCATCTTCAAGAATAAATAGTATTTGAAGCAAACATTTTATGATTTACTTATGAAATTAATAAGCTATTCATGAATTTGAAACGTCACACTTCCATACTCTTCTAAAAATAGCTTTGCTGGTCTAGCATTGTTAATTCAATGACCAGATGTTACTGCTGTCATAGTAGCGAATAGCGGCCAAATCGTGGGAGAATTGCGGCCATAGCAGCTGCTATTTCATCCCTGCCAAAACCCGACTTTGCCCTCGCTTTCTTAACGTTGGACATCTTTAAATGGGGATAATCTTAGGATTTTGCCCCCTTTTACATTGCTGATATCTTCTTCCTCACAAGTCCCAAGTTCTCATTTTCATTTCGGTTATCTGGTTTGTTCTTCCCCATCTTCGTTCTCTGCGACATTCTCTTGCTTCCGGTATCCTTCTCCGGCGAGGCTTCTGTTGTGACAGAGTCGTCCTCCGATTATCTTCTTCATCTCCGGCAAATCTTCTTACGTAACTTAGACATGTTCCGGTCGTCTTCATCTCTGGTTGTCTTCTTCAACTCCGGCGAAGCTTTCAATGTGATCCAGGCAGTTCTGTTCATCTTCTTCATCTCTGATAAAACGTCCGATGAACCTGCACATTTTTTAGTGACTGACCAATTCTCTGTTTTCTTATTTCCTTATATGTTTTTTATTTCCGTCTCTGTTTTTTATTTCTCTCTGTTTTGGATATTATTTTTATATTAGGTATAATACTTAGAACTTCAAAATATCAGCCATCCTACTATCCGCTATGCTGCTATAGCGTTTTTGGGATTGGCTGCTCCGTGCTGCTATTCTAGATTGACTACTATGACTGCTATTTAGAAATCTTGATGTGATGGGACATATTGTTTTAAACTTCTGATTTTGTTTGTTGAGTTTTAATATTTTTGAATAGTTTACCGGGCAGAAATCCATTTATGATTGACATTCTATTTTGAATTTATAGTTTTTGATTTGGTGGCTGTGTTTTGAATCAGCTGTTTGCAGTCTGCTCAAGTGTTTGTGGTCTCCTGTCAAAAAATCACAGTTTATTCAATCAATTGTATCCATTTGTTCTATTGATCTACAGTCACTTGTTTGCCTTGGGAATGCTGATGTGTTATTAGGCTTCAAACTGATGTTTTATATACTTTTCCTTTTGCATCCTTTGTTGATTTTGCTATTTCTTTCAATTGAACTTGATATGATATGAGTGTCTCTTTGCAATATACATGTATGTGTCGTTTTAATTAATTTTATTACATCTTCTTACCAGCTAGGTTATCTTTATGGTTTCTAGTGCAGGCTTATATTGAGAAAGAGGACAGTAAAAAGTTGAAACAAAAGCAAAGGGAACGCATGCAACCAAAAATGGGGAAAATGGATATTGATTATCAGGTTTTGTTTTGTCTTTACCTTTTCTAGTTTTGCATGGTTTGTCTTGCATACTTTTATGTAGCGTCCAGAAGTCAGACTATTTCAACCTGTTCTCAGGTGACTTTTTTTCTTGGTTAGTAGGTTCTTCATGATGCATTCTTTAAATATCAGACAAAGCCAAAGCTGACATCTCTTGGGGACCTGTATCATGAAGGAAAAGAATTTGAGGTATAATTCACTTTTATATGTAAGCACCAGATTTCAAATACTGTTTACTTAAATGATTGAGTTAATGGCAGCACAGAATGTGCAATATCCATCTACCATCTCTATAGATTGAATTTTATAAACTGCCTGTTACTGGAAGATCAATATATTCATTGAGTGGCGTGTATTAAGTTGAGTAAGTTGTTAGATTTGTGCTGCAAATGTATTTTTCAGTTACAGTATTTTCTTTAGGTCACTATTAGTTCTTACTGGGTTGATTTTGACATTTTAAAGGAAATTGATTTGAAGTTCAAATTCATAAACAGATTAGTTGATAGCTACTCGTGGGCAGTGTTGCTTTATCTTCCTGGTATCAATAGAGAAATCTAACTTCTCGAGTTCCAGGTTGTTGAGATGGGTTTTTCAACTTCTTTGATTGATAATACCTTCACTTTTCATTTTTTAATCAACAGAGTTGAACAATATATTTCTTCTTATCTGATTTCTGGGTTGAATAATGGATCTCCTAGACCTTGAGAGCTTAGCTTCCATCTATATCATATTCTTGTGAGGTGGAAAGTTCATGTATTCTCTATAAATTTATCAAAAGTAATAGTATTTTTCTTTGGACATTTGGTCTAAAGATCATAGGTCGTTATGATATGATGTTTCCATTGATTTGGGCAAGTGTCAAAGTTAATAGCATCCATACAAGTTATAACTTGATTGTTATTATATATAATGCTGTGCAGGTAAAGTTGAGGGAGATGAAACCTGGCATGTTGTCACACGAATTAAAAGAAGCTCTTGGTATGCCTGAGGGTGCTCCTCCTCCATGGCTTATTAATATGCAGGTAATATCAATGTATTGTGGCATTTATGTTGTATTATTCTGTTCTTGTCCCTTTCATTATGTTATTATTATTTTTATTTCCAGAGATATGGTCCTCCTCCATCATACCCTCATCTGAAGATCCCTGGCCTGAATGCTCCTATCCCCCCTGGGGCTAGTTTTGGCTATCATCCTGGCGGCTGGGGCAAGCCTCCTGTTGACGAAGTACTTTATTTATATTCACTCTCTTCTTTTATCATTTGATTTTTGAATCATTATGGGTTTTTTTTTTCATTAAAAGGCTTCCCACAACCCCTTCTCCTTTTACACCTCATTGATCACGTTTCTTGTCTGCAACTGAACAGTATGGGCGTCCACTTTATGGAGATGTTTTTGGTGTTCATCAACAAGAACAGCCTAATTATGAGGTTGGTTTACATAGAAGTTCTCCTATGTATTTAAAGGGGTAACTTCTCTTTGATATAATCTTCCAATGTTGCCATTTTTATGTTAGATGACAAAGCCTAGTGCTTTTAAAGTTCAATGTTTGAAGCTTATGGCATTCCCTTCTCTCTCTCTCTGTCTCTCGATATGTGGGTGTGTTGTATTCTCTTTTCCTTTGTATTTAATTCAATGAAGACATGATAGAGATGAAAATGAGAGAAATTTGAAATTAGAAATTAAATTAGCTTTTTATCAATCCATCTTGCATGTCCAAATACATTGCTTGTTATCTTTCTTTCCTTATCTTCTTTTCAATCTCAAAAGCTATTCTTTTGGTACTTGGTAGATTGAATGCAGAAATTATTGGACTAGAAAAAGTAATTAATTTAACTAAATCAGGAGCACCTATTAACTCAAATATGGTTGTTTTGAACATGGTATTCCTTTTTGTATTTTTTGCTTAAATGGTTTCACAATGAAGGAGGAACCAGTTGATAAGAGCAAACACTGGGGTGACTTGGAGGAAGAGGAGGAGGAAGAGGAAGAAGAAGAGGAAGAGGAAGAGGAAGAAGAAATGGAGGAGGAGGAACTAGAAGCTGGTATTCAGTCTGTTGATAGTTTGTCTAGGTATTATGTTCTATTTTAGTTTCTTTTCTTGTTGGCATTACTGTTTCTTTTCATAGATATATTTCTTTCTTTCATAGAATTGACATAATAAATGGGCACTTGATGTAAAATCTAAGGACCCATTGTATGACTAATTTAGTTCAGGAGTGGTTAACAATTAACTTAACTAAACCCACCTCAAGAATGTTTCACAGGTCCTAGGCTGGCTTTGGTTTATTATTCTGTACTTTGTGTGTCTCTGTGTGTGTAGATTGATACCTGGTTTTGGTTTGTTGTGTTAATCTCCTGTTTTTTTAAACTCATTTCTTTCATATTTTCCATTGGATTTTCCTCCCCAGCACTCCCACTGGAGTGGAGACACCTGATGTTATTGACCTTCGTAAGCAGCAGAGGAAGGAACCTGAAAGGCCTCTTTATCAAGTGGGTCTTTCTAATGCTGCTCTTCAATCAGCCTTAGCTCTTTGATCATTTAATTGTATGTCATTAATCATGTTTTCTGTGAAGGTACTTGAAGAGAAGGAGGGAAAAATTGCTCCGGGAACTTTGCTTGGAACCACACACACGTATGCAAAATTGGGACCTTTTTCTTTTTAATAATGAGAGGCATTTTTTTTCTTTTCTTCCTCAATTATTTATTAACAAGTTGTGATGTTCCTTTCTCTCCAGTTATGTTGTTAGCTCTGGCACCCAGGACAAGTCAGGGGCTAAAAGGGTAAAGTGAAGATTTTCCTCTTTTTTCAGGGGGAAAAGGGTGGGAGGGGTTTTTATGATAATATTGATCGGTGGGATAACATGTTTCATGGTTTACAGGTTGATTTGCTTAGAGGTCAAAAGTCAGATAAAGTGGATGTCACTTTACAGCCAGAAGAGTTGGATGTCATGGAAAATGTTTTACCTGCAAAGTATGAATGTTGTTTTTGAAAAAGAAATTTGTTGTCTGTTAGTGATGTTACATGGGTCTGATTTCTTACCTCTGGTGGAACAATTTCAGGTATGAAGAAGCAAGGGAGGAAGAGAAGTTACGGAGTCAGCGTGAGGATTTCAGTGACATGGTTGCAGAGGTCTGTTGCATTTAAGTTCCATATAGTACAGACCACATATTGTTATTATTATTATTATTAACTTAGGCCTTGAATTGTTTATTTAATTATGTAACCAACTGGTGCAGAATGAGAAGAAGAGGAAGAGAAAGATGCAAGAAAAGGAGGGCAAGTCCAAGAAGAAGGACTTTAAGTTTTAAGTTGGTTTCGTTACTTTTTCATTTGCAGGAAAAGTGGAGACCTGGGAGTTACCCATTCATCAAATTGTCATTTTCCATTGGAGAGAGGGTTGGTTGTTAGCTGTGTTTTATGGCATCTCTTTCTCTTTCTCTATCACGTGTTATTGTCTGCGAGTAGCTTTCATTGCTTTGGTTAGGAATATATTACTTATGTAATACGATGAACACCATAACAGAACGAGGCATATGCTTTAGTTGGAAACACAATACAATGACTCATTATTATTGTTGTTGGCATTCGGGATCCGTTCGTGCGTCTGATACTTACATGATCCACGTGATTAGATGCGTGATAATTCTTAGCATGATATCGATGTCTGTTGGTGCAAACAGGTTCGAGAAAGTATCCCGACTTGTAATTTTCAATCCTTTGTTACCACTTTTCCATCTTCAAACTAAAACTTAAGATCATGATTCTGGTTCTATTTAGAAATACTGTGGGTAGGGTAGAGGGATGTGAGAAGGACAGATGTGTCTTTTGGGAATCATTTTAAAAAAATAATAATAATAAATGTGTTTTTTATTTTCATGAGGCAACGTGGTCGATCAAGTCTTGTCAGTTCCCATTTTTTTTTTCCTTAAAAGGGTTCCTTTTAATTTGTTTTATAAAGGATTTACATTGAGGTTTTGTTCATTCCATAAAAGTTGCTTTCCTTTTTGAAGAGTTTTTATAGTATTGTGTTTAGCCCTTCTACTTTATATATCTTCTTGCTTTTTGTTTGTCTTAGGGTTTAGTTTTACAGATTTGTTTGATGTTAAAATACTAACTATAGTCATTGATTAAAAAAAATTAATGGCTGAGATTTTAGTTTCATGATGTTGTAAATATACAAGCATTTTTTTGTTGTTACATGTTCATTTATTTTATAATTTTAATAGTTGTGTTTTGTCTTCTAAATTGCACTCGTAAACACGTGGATGAGGCCAGTGCCTTAGCCTCATTGGGAAGTGAAGAAGTTTAATTCCCAGGTATGAATCGATGTGATTCAATCTAAAATCAAGCCCGGTGAGGTGCAGTTCAGCAGAAAATGCCAAAATCATGTCAGTGACATATGGGTCTATTTGCACAGTAATTCAAGTGCACTAGATTACGAGTTGTGTTGCGCGATCACCGTTACTGAAATAAAGTTATCCTCTGATCATACTGAATGATTCCCACTGAGAATATGAAAACAGGGATGCCCTCTGCGACAGACCAAACAAGAGAAGAATTTTTATATTTGCTCGCACACTCCTTACTATTTATGTATTGACAAACTACTAAATTTGTTCCACCAAGATTGTTGAAAGGTGTTGTGGCATCCTAGAAATTATTGGAAGCCGTCCAATCTAGTTAGTGACTTATCCAAGCCATTATTCTTTGAGCAACAGAGCTTGGCTCCACTTTCAATCAAATCTTTATTGCTTGTTCCTTACTCAGATCCCTGGCTGTAGAACTACGTGTATGTGTGCTATCATATTCTTGTCCCACCGCCATCACCGCCTACACCTATAAAAGTTTGAAATAAGAGGGTCTCATTTGAGAATGCAAATGGATGCATGTTACATGTAGTAACATTTGTGCTCATTTGACACATGACTACTCCTTTTCATTTGACAAAACGTTCAATCCAAAGGTCAGAAACGTGAAGCCATTGGTCATGGCTTGGTGTCCTAATTTTCTAGATATAGACCCACATATTTGATAGCTTTCCCCACCATGTATGGTACGTATCAAATGGAAGATTCGGCCACTGCAGGTGTCTTTCACTCGTTAACCTCGATCGTGATGCTTTTGTGGCATGGCATCATTAACATGCATCCTCTTCTTCTGGACGCTTGCATCTCAGTGCTGCATAATTAGGTAGAGCGTCCTTTCCTAGTCAGCTATTTTAACATACAACTCATTCAGGGATTAGGCTGAAAATGACATAAATATATTTTCACATCTAGCGCGCGCGCATATATATAGTATAAGAAAAATTAATAAAAAAAACAATAAAAACATATATTTTTTAAATAATTTATATTTTAAAAATTTTATAAAAGTTAAATGAGTAACTTCTAAAAAAAATAAACATAAGTTATAAGAAAAGTTCAATTATTTTTATTCATTATTTTCACTCCTATGAATAGTTATCAAAAAGTTTGTTCAAAGTTTCAAACTAAACTAAAGTTATTTCAAAAATAACTTTTGTTGAAGTGTTTAATAAATTTAAATATTAAATTTCATAAAGTTAATCATTAAATATCATGATGTTAACATGTTTAAATATGTTACTACTTATTTATATTTTACAGTTATATCAGACATTAAAATAAATAAATAATTTTAATTTATTTTATTTTCTTAACTCGAAAAAAGTATTTTAAATAAGTTTTTTTTTTGGTGAGAAACATTAACTTTATTAAAAAATTATTATCATTTTTTTCTCTTTGTAAACTTTGATGATAACAGAATACATTCTAACTAATTTTGATTTACTTTATTTTATTTTTCTTCCCCCTCTTATCTTTTATTTTTGTCTTCACAACTCATTTTTCTCTTTTCCTTCAAACTCTTTTTTTTTTCTCTTCTTTTACCTTTCATCTACATATTTATGATCTATTTTCTCTATTTAAACTTTGACAAAAAATATTTTTTGTTCTTTTTTTATTTTTTATTTTTTTACTTTTCATCTATGCTTCTAGGACTTGTTCCTCTACCCTTTTAAACTCCTAAGAAAATTTTCTTTTTTTCTTTTTTCTTGTCCTCCTCTTATCTTTCATCCATGTCCCAACAACATGTTTCTCTATCTTTAATTTTGAAAAAAATCTTTATTTTGGTAGATTTTATAGTTATGTTTAGGAGTCATAGGAAAAAATGGGAAGCAAGCTAACAACGATGGCATCTAACCTTTGTCTTCATTAAAACGGTCGCTAATACTTTATTTGTGTGAGATATCATTCTCTTTTTTCTTGTCTTCTCTTACAATCCTAAAGATATCAAAAGTATCACTGACAAATTAAAGATTTTTGTCAAATCTAAAAAGAGAACATGTGAAATTTTGGATAAGAGATAAGAAGAGGAGGAAAAATTAAAAAAAAATTTGTTGAAATTTTAAGGAGGAAGAGACAAACAAATCATTAAAGCATGGATTAGGGGCAACAAGAGTAGGGAGAGAAAGATGAACAATTTTTTGAAAAAAATTAATATTTTCAATAAATTTATAAAAAATTTATTTAAAATATTTTTGTAAGTTAAAAGATTAAAATAAAAAAAAGAGAGTGAAAGAACTAGTGAAACAAAACTTAGTGTTGAGGGACTAATATACTAATTTAGTCTATTTTAAATAATATATCATCTATTAAATTATAGTAAAATGACAAAATATTAGTATTTAAATTATGTGAATTTTTGTAAACTAATTAAGTTTGACATTCAAAATATCATTTGATCTTATCACCTATTTAATATATCTAGAAAGAAATTTTTTTTCATATATGAGATAAAAGGGATAAATCTTAACCATTAGATTTAGTTATAAATGGTTAAAGGCTTGTTAAAAGAACTAATGACTATCATAAACTACTTTTAGTTTATCTTAATAAATTTTAGACTAAACTCTCATTTTGATTTTTGAGATAGTAAGTATTAAATATTCTAGTCTTTTAAAATTTAAAAAAGTCACATGAGTCTCTAACTTTCATATTCGTTGGACATTTTAGTTTCTAAATCTAGACATTGTCAATCAATAATAACAAAGTGATGACATAAAATTGGTAAAATTTGAGATTGAATCTATAGGTTATTCTCTCCACTAATTTTGAAGTCTCAACTTTAATTTGTTGACTAAATCATTACTTCAGTTCTTCAAACAATATATTGTATGAAATATAGATATATGTTGATTTTTTTTCTTTTAAATGTCATACCTTTATTCGTATTTTTAAGAATCTCACCATTAAAGTATATTATTACATTTGCACTCATTCTTTTTCATCAAAACATATAAGAATATAAATTTTTCACTTGCAATCTACTATGAATGAAGAATGGAGCCGAGAATTTATAGATTAGGATTAAAAATTTGTCAATAATATTTTCTTTTCAAAAAACACCAAAGGTGATATTTTATTTGGTAGGACAAGTTTTAAAATTTTTTTTAAGTCTTAAAAGTAGTTAATAACATTTTTTTAGTGTTAGCCTTTTTTTTTTTTTTATTTTGACAATGGATATTTCATGTTGTAACAAAAATTGAGACAAAATTAGTATTTTCGTCTTTTAATGGTTACATTCAATTTCACCCTTCAACTTTATTTTGATTCATAGTGATTTTTTAAATTTTCAAAAGTTTCAAATAAATCTTTTTGTTAGTCATATTAACTTTGTTAATATTTTTTTATCTTTTTTTACCACACGTATTATTTTTTACGATTCATTGTCTTATTTATCATGTTCATCCATTATTTATTGGTTGGTTAGTAATGAAGCTGAGTGGTTGAAAAACTTCTGAGCAAATATTTCACTTGGTTCAAAACCAATACATTTAGTATCTATGCATTGTAATAATCAATCAACAATAGCTATTACGAAAAATAATTCTTATAATAGTAAGTAAATGCTAAAAGATAGAATTATATCCATTTATTATGTAAGGTGAGGTTTAGAAGTGAATTTGACTGATTCTTTGACAAAATCAATGGAAAGAAAATGTGTTTACGAAACATCGAGGAAAAATGGGTTTTAAGTCACATATTATGATAGAAACCCAACCTTTGTGATAGGAGATCCCACCAAGAAGGTTAATTCTACTAACATTAATTATTTTTTCATTCCTATGGTTTAAGAAGTGTTAGGTTGTATAGAAAGAGAGGATACACTTTAAAGCTCCTAATAAATTTTATATCCTCTACGAGTGGTGTGTAAATGCAATATACATATAAGGAAATCACTTACCTATATAAATATTAAGTGGAGTCGCTTGTATGAAATTAAAGCAAAACTTCTAAAACACTTATGAATCACTAAGCACACACTTGACCTATTTGCGCAAAACAACAAAAATAGAAAGAGTTGTGAAGTGTAATGTGATAAATAAGTATTTACTAAATATTAGAGTGTATTAGTTCATAGAAATCTAATTTCACCCATACACTGTATATTATGTTTTATTTGTTTAAGTCTAATTTATAATTTAAAAGACACCATGAACGATAATATTTACTCTCTTAATATAACTTGGTAAAAAAAAAATTTAATTCTTCTTCTTATTAATAGTATTTATTATTAATTACTATTCAAAATTCTTTTAAAATAAGTAGAAATTGTTATAATTTATTTGTATTTCAAAAGTACTT